CGGCGCCCGCAGCGCCGCCCGCCGCCGCTCGCGCTCGCCCCGCACCGGCCGCCCCGCCGCCCGGTCGCACGACGAGGAGCCGCGCCGCAGCTGCCGGTCAGCCAGTGCCGCCGCCTGCAGTCGCGCCCGCGCAAGTGCCCGTCGGCGCCGGCGCCGGCCCCGCTCGCGTCGTCCCGCCCGCTCAGGCCCCGGCGCCGCCGCCCGCCGCCGCCGCCGCACCTGCGCGCGCCCGCGCCCCACGCGTCGCCCCTCCCGTTCCTCCGCCCAACGCCGCCGTCGGCAACCCGCCGGGCTTCAACCTGTTGAACCCGCTCACCTGGCTCGGCGGCGGTCCGGGCGCGCTCGGCGGCGCAGGTAACCCGGCGCCTCCTCCGGTCGACCCGTTCTTCGAGTCGCTCCTGCAGCACACGCCCGACCTCGAGCATGTCGAGCTGTACGGGCGGCGCTACACGTCCGGCGTCGTCAACCGGCTCGTCGAGCTGCCGCTCCGCCACTTGAGCCTGTCGGTGCCGGACGAGGACCAGCAGCAGGCGGTCGTCGATCGGGTGCTCGAGGCGCTCGTCAACGGCGAGTGGAAGGGTCTGCGTCGGTGCGTCCTCTCTCTCTCTCTCTCTCTCTCTCTTTCCCCTTTCGCCTCCCTCGGCGCGCCCGTACTGACTCTTTCTTCCCCTCGCCGCGCTCGCAGGATCGAGCTCTCGGGTCGCGGCGGCGAGTGGGAGCCGTCGCAGCGTCGCGCGGTCAAGGTCGAGGCCGAGAAGCGGAAGCGCGTCGTGTACAAGTCGACCGACGTGCGGCCGTGAGCGGTCGGGCGGGGCGGGGTCCGAGCGGGACGAAGGGGGGGTCGACGCGGCAGCTTGGTTCCGCATTTTGCAACTCGGGCAGGTGTATCTTCACTCGCTCGAGCCTTCGCTCGCCACCGAGAGAGGCCTCGTCGTCGCAGCCGAGTCGGCTTGCAAGCTCGAGAGCAGAGAAGGTCGTCACGAGGGCGGTCCACATCGCTGCCCGCGCCTGCCCACCAGCTTCTCGCGCTCTCGACACCGTTCCGCAGTTCGGCGAGACGCAGCAAAAGAGTGTGCGCCGCCTACAGCCCGAGCTACGGCGGCAAAAGAGAAGCTCTTCGACCGGGAATTGAACCCGGGTCTCTGCCGCGTTGATCCGCTAACGGACTGACAAGGCAATATACTAGCCACTATACTATCGAAGATGAGCGATGTCGGCCTAGCCAGTTGTGCATATAGGTCCCGCGCAGCGCAATCAACTGGGGTCGAGTGGGCTCGAGCGCATCGAGCACCACGCCGATGCCCTCCACGGGCAGCCTCTCGCTTTGCCCGTGCTGTCGCTTGCTCTCCTCGGGTATCTTTCGTGTGCTACAGGGTGGCCAGGGCCTGAATGATGCGGTGCGAGAAGCGAGAGCAGGCGAGCATGAGACAGTCGACTGAGGTTTGCAAGCGACGACGGCGCACCGATGCTCGCTTGGGCTCTCGAGAGAAGGCGAGCAGGTACGAGAAAGGCATGGTATGGCACAGCAGGGGTATCATCGGCGCTCGCGCGCTCCTCCCTCAAGCCCGCACCTTGGCCCGCTTCGGCCTCGGCTCCTCTTCCTCCTCCTCCTCGCCGTCCGACTCGTCCACCGACTCGAACCCATCTGCGAGCCCCGCACTCTTCTCGTCCTCGAGCGTGCGCCGCCTGGCCCTCGTCCCGACGTCCCGCTCGGCGCGGCGCTCGTCGGGCGTCATAAAGTCGTCCTTGGCGTAGTAGGCGAGCGGGACGGCGAGCGGGTTGATGCGCCGCTTGAGGCCGAGGAGCATGAGGATGTCGAGCTTGTAGTTGAGCGGCGTCATCTTGAGGTCGTCCTTGAGCACCTTGAAGACGCGCCCGACGGCGTCCTTGTCGGCGCTGTCGTCGCAGTAGACGCCGAGCCAGTACTTTCCGTCTGCGTGGCTGTCGCACGAGGTTCAGATCTTGCACGGGAGAACGAAAAAGGAAGAAAGGGAAGGACGAGGACGCACTTGGACGCTGCCGACACCTTGGCCGCGTGCACGGTCCGCGTCTTGGCGAGCGCGCCGTCGGGCTTGACGATCGCCTCGACGACCTTGCGCCACTTCCAGTCGATCTCGTGCTGCTCGACCGAGAAGTGCCAGCAGCCCGACGCGTAGTTGTACCGCTTGGCGAGCTTGACGAGCGACGAGATGCAGTCCTCGCGCGCTTCGGCGCGTACTGCGGCGCGGGGGTGGGAGACAACCGAGTCAGCGTGTCCTCCTGACCCGGCAAGGCCACGTCCTGGACCCTCAGGGCGCTATGCGCCGCGAGGGCGCGACGAGAGCGGGACAGGGGACGCACAGTCGGCTTGCGAGCGCTCGCCCCGGGTTGCTCGCACGGGCGCGGTTCTCTGCGAGCAGCCGACACGGCGAGAGAGAGGCAGTGTCGTGTCCCAGTCGGGGCGGGGCAGGGACGAGAAGGAGAGACGGAGCGCACCCGAATGTCCTCGAGCCGTTCTGCGAGCTCGTCGAGGACCCGCCTGCTTTTGCGCTTGAGCTTGTCCTTCCGCTCCTCGAGCGTGTCGGCCAAGTCGCCCTCGCCGCCGTCCCTACGCCGGCGGGCCCAGGTGAACTCGCCGCGCGAGTCGTTGTTGCGCGAGGGCTTGAACGAGGCGAGGAACGTGTCGACGGCGGCCAGGTCGGTCGGGCCCGTGAGCTGCGGTGAGGGGGTCGAGCGAGTCAGTGAGGCGCACAACCTGCTCTTCGCACGCCTTATCGAGGCCATGGACGAGCTGGCGGCGACGAGGCGGTGCACGAGGGGAGCGGCTCACGCAAGCTGCAAGGGGGGCAGGATGGGTCAGGGCGCGCTCGCAAGGAGTCGAAGGGAGCCTGGCGCACCTTCAGTGGCCGCCATAGGCCCGGCGTGAGAGACGAGGGAGGCGACTGGAGCGAGCCAGACCTGTGGTTCCCACGCGATTCCGCCAAGTCCAACTCGCGGTTTGCCGTAGCTTTATGTGAGCGCAAAGTTGCTCTCGCTGGCACATCGAATCTTCGATAGTATAGTGGCTAGTATATTGCCTTGTCAATCCCTCATCGGGATCAACGCGGCAGAGACCCGGGTTCAATTCCCGGTCGAAGAGCTTTTTGTTTGGCGCATTATCGACGTTTCCAGGCGCGGTATACTCTTTTGCTGCCCCTCAGTAGCACGCCAAGTCTCTGCGCGAGCCAGGGAAGCATTCTCGGACGCGAGGGGTCTCTCGCAGGTGCCGTGGCCGAGCGCACGGCCCTCTCGCGCTTCTCGAGGCTCCTGTACGCTCTCGCGCGCTTTCTCTGCTCTCACAGGCTCGACAAGAGAGTGAGCCGAGGGTCATTCCGAGGTATTGCGGTGTGGGGTACGAAAAGGGAGCGAGGGGTGACAGGGAGGGGGAACCAAGGTGGGAGGACGCGGCGGCGAGAGGAGGAGGATAAAGGAGGGGCGAGAGGGAGCGCGAAGAGGGGCGGGTCATGCCGGTGCTGCGACTACGAGTAGAGGCGAGAGAGGGAAAGGAGGGAAGGGGCGCGCGCTTAGAGGCGCTGGATGACGATGGCCGAGGCACCGCCGCCGCCCTGCAGGTTGGTGCGCGACCGAGTCAGTGAACCTGCACCGATGCCGAGAAGAGAAGAGAGGAGAGAGAGAGAGGTGAGACGCACGTTGCAGACGCCGGCAACGCCGTACTCGCCCGGCTGGAGGAGGTGCACGAGCGTGACGATGATCCTGCTGCCGGACGACCCGAGCGCGTGTCCGAGCGCGACGGCGCCGCCCGACACGTTGAGCTTGTCGGTCGGGATGTCGAGGATCTTTTGGTTGGCAATGGCGACGGCCGAGAAGGCCTCGTTGACCTCGAACTTGGCCACCTGGTCGATCGTGATGCCGGCGCGCTTGAGCGCGGCCGGGATGGCCTTTGCGGGCGCGATCGGGAAGTCGATCGGGGCGCACGCGGCGTCGGCAAAGGCTGGGCGGGCGCGCGAGAAAGAGAGAGAGTCAGTGAGGGCGAGAGAGGGAAAGAGGGAGAGGGGCACGAGGACGCACCGACGACCTTGGCGAGCGGGGTGAGGCCGAGCTCGCTGACCTTGTCCTGGCTCGCGAGGACGAGTGCCGAGGCGCCGTCGTTGAGGTTGGACGCGTTGGCGGCCGTCACGGTGCCGTCCTTCTTGAAGACGGGCTTGAGGCTCGCCACCTTCTCGGGCTTGATCTTCTTGTACTCCTCGTCCTCCGAGATGACGACGTCGCCGGCGCGGGTCGAGAGCGTGACGGGCGCGATCTCGTTCTTGAACGCGCCGGCCTTCCACGCGTCGGCCGCCTTGCGGTACGACTCGAGACAGTACTTGTCCTGGTCCTCGCGCGTGATCTGGTGCTTCTTGGCCGTCTCCTCGGCGCTGCGGGGCGACCGTACGAGGGGTCAGGAAGGGCTCGTCGAGATGCAAGAAAGACTGGCAGACGCACCAGTTGCCCATCGGGTAGTCGCCGTAGACGTCGGTGAGGCCGTCCTTGACGATGGCGTCGAGCGCCTGCACGTGGCCAAAGGTGGCCGGGGTGCGGGGCATGTAGAACCTGTGCGCGCAAGGGCCAAGTCAGTCGCAGGCTCGTGCGGGTACGAGAGAGGGAAGGAGAGGGAGAGAGGGGACGCACGGCGCGTTCGACATGCTCTCCATGCCGCCCGCGACCATGAGGTCACGCTGGCCCGTCTGGATGTTCTGCGACGCGAGCATGACAGCCTTCATGCCCGAAGCGCAGACCTGCGTGCACGAGCGGCTGGGTCAGTGGCAGCTCTCCGCTCGAGAGGGCGCAGGAGGGAGGGGGGGCGGTCTGGGGACGCACCTTGTTGACGGTGGTGGCCTCGGTCGACTCGGGGAGACCGGCACCGATGACGACCTGGCGGGCCGGGCTCTGGCCCGAGCCGCCCTGGAGGACCTGGCCAAAGTAGAGGTCCTCGACCTGGTCGGCGGGCACCTTGGACTGGCTCAGGACGCCCTTGACGGCGGCGACGCCGAGCTGGACGGCCGAGGCAGCCTTGAGCGCGCCCTGGAACGAGCCGACCGGGGTGCGGGCCTGCTCAGAGGGACGAGCGAGAGATGGGGGAGAAAGGGAAGGCGGGGGTTGGGAGGTGCGAGCAAGGTCAGCTCTCGAACGAGGGGCGCGAGAGAGGGGAGGGTGGGACGCACAGCACCGACGATGAAGACCTCGCGGAGGCCGGCAGGAGCAGTAGAAGAAGACTGGGCGGCGGCGCGGTCGTTCGAGGGGAGGTTGTTGCCACGAGGGAAGGGGGGAGCGCGACGAGGGGGAACGAGGGGAGGGACGAGTGCGAGGGTCAGTCTACGCGTCTCTCGGTCTCGTGAACGTGCAGGCGGTGCTCACCATGCGAATGTGGGCGAGACGGCGGGATGCGGAAGCGAGAGAGGACGGCGACAGCGAGCGGCGGGCAGGTGCGACGAGCATGCGGGGAGGCGCGGGCGGGTGGTTCGAGCTGGAGTGCGGGGGCGAGGCGAGGGATCTCTGGAGCTGCTGCTGCGCGCGGCGGGTCGGTCGAGGTGCGGCGGTCGTCGACGAGGCTCGTACGAGGGTGCGTGCAAGAGGCTGAGCAAGCTGAGCCCGCGGCGAGGGAGCGGCGTTCCCCACGGCCTGCCGACCGCCGGCTCGCTCCCACTCGCCTCCCGACTACCGGCTCGCTGTTGAACGCACTCTCTCGCTCTCGCACGCACGAGGGACCAGCGAAAGAGAGGCACAAAGAGAAGAGTTTCATTTCCTGCGACGCCTGCGATAGAGAGAGAGAACAGGGTCGGGCTGAGAGAGAGAGAGAGAGAGGGAGGACGTGGGGAGAGAGACGCTCAGAGCGCCGTCGCCGCCGCCGCCGACGACTCGGCAGCGACCGACTCGCTCGCGGCCCACACGGCGTCGCCCTTGGCGCCCACGGCCGCCTTGGCCGCCTTGCGCGCCGCGTCGAGGTCGGCGAACGCGAGCTGCTCGTCGGTCCACAGGTTGACGACCTCGGGCGCCTTTGCGCCCTCGACAGCGTCGAGGCCGACGCCGCAGTGGCCGCCCTGGGCCGCCCACTCGCTCGTGCGCTTGAGGCCGAGCTCGTCCCACACGCTGTCGAGCGCGTTGACGAGGTCGGCGAGCTGGGCGTCCGTGTGGAGCGGGCTCGGCGTGATGCGCAGGCGCTCGTCGCCGACCGACACGGTCGGGAAGTTGATGCTCTGGATGTACAGCTTGTGCTTGGTGAGGAGGAGGTCGGACGCGCGCTTGGCGAGCTCGGCGTTGCCGACGAGGAGGGGCACAATGTGCGAAGGGTTGGGGATGACGGGGATGCCGATCGCCGTCAGGTCGCGCTTGACCTTGGCGACGTTGCGCTGCTGCCCCTGGCGGTCGCCGAGGTGCTCGCGCTGGTACGCGATCGACGCGCGCGCGCCGGCCGCCGTCGACGGCGGGAGCGACGTCGTAAAGATGAAGCCGGGCGCGTACGAGCGCACCATGTCGACGAACCGGGTGCTGCCGGCAATGTAGCCGCCGACGACGCCGTACGCCTTGCCGAGCGTGCCCGTGATGATGTCGACGCGGTCCATGACGTTGCCCTTTGCGCCGCCGAGCGCGTTCTGCGCCCAGTCGAGGTGCTCGGCGACGCCGGCGCCCGTCGGGCCGTACATGCCGACGGCGTGCACCTCGTCGAGGAACGTCAGGGCGCCGTACTTGTCGGCGAGGTCGCAGATCTCCTTGATGGGCCCGACCGTGCCCGACATCGAGTAGACCGACTCGAACGCGATGAGCTTGGGCACGTCGACGGGGAGCTGCTGCAGCTTGCGCTCGAGGTCGGCGAGGTCGTTGTGCTTGAAGATGACCTTGGGCGCGCGCGAGTGCCGCATGCCCTGAATCATGGACGCGTGGTTCATCTCGTCCGACAGGATGACGCAGCCGGGCAACTTGGCGCCGAGCGTCGACAAGGTCTCGACGTTGGCGACGTAGCACGAGCTGAAGACGAGCGCCGCCGGCTTGTGGTGCAGCTGCGCGAGCTCGGCCTCGAGCGCGAGGTGCATGGCGCCGTTGCCGGCAATGTTGCGCGTCCCGCCCGCGCCGGCGCCGTACGTGTCGAGCGTCTCGTGGATCGCCGCGAGCGTCACGGGGTGCCTGCCCATGCCGAGGTAGTCGTTGGAGCAGTGCACGGTCACCTCATCGGCCTTGTTGGCCGTGTGGGCGACGGGGTACTTGGCAGCGAGCCGGTTGACGTTGTTGAAGTACTGCGGGAGCGCACGACAGCGAGAGTGAGCTCGTGTGCCCTCGACGACGGCACCCAAGAGACAATAGAGAGAGAGCGGGACGCACGCGGTAGGACTTGTCCTGGTGCTTCTTCGCCAGCTCGCTGCCGTAGAAGGCCTCGTAGTCGAAGCCGGGTCTATGGCTCGTCACGTTGTGCTTGGCGAACCCGAGCGCGCACGTCGGGCGGTCCGACGCGTGCGCTTGCTGCTGCGACGCGCCGTCCTGGGTGGCCGCGCTGCTGCCCGCCGACGACGGCGAGTCGGTCGTCGACGCCGGGTTGACGAACGAGGGGGCGCCGACCTGCTCGGCGCCGCTCGGGTCGACGGCGCGGCGCAGGGCGTCCTGCTCGACCTCGGCGACCGACGCGTAGCCACGGGCAGGCGACGACGACGACGACTTCTTGAGCGACAGGTGGTTGGCCTCGGTGGTGGTGGTGGTGGTGGCGTCGGCAGCGCGCGTGTGGAGGCCGTGGGCGGCGGCGGGGGCGACGTTGCGCTGGGTGTGGACGAGGGCGGTGCGCATGAGCGGGCACTGGGTCGACGCGAGCTCGGCGAGGCGGTTGCCGCCGGGGGCGGGGACGAGCGAGCGCTGGGTCGAGTAGGAGCGCAGGGCCGCGACGGGCGACTGGCGCAGGAACGGGCACGCGCTAAAGCGCTTGAGGGCGGTACAGGCGTCCATCGGTGGAGCGTGTGCGAGGTGGTGGTGGTGTGTGGGAGGGAGGAGAGCTGCTCGCGGTCAAGAGCGATCTCCAGCTCGCGCGTCTCACAATTGAACAGCGAGCGCGACACGACTTGTTACAACACGAGAGAGTACTGCAAAGAGGCCACACTGTACACTCGTCCTCTCGCCCCCTCATCTGAAATGCGACACTTGTCGAGAGCTGCGGCGCGCGGACCAAGGGAGGGTCAGTCGGGTTGGCTCGGCTAGACGAAGAGGACGACGCACTGATGCACTCGCAGGAAAAGCCAGTCGACCGCCTCTCGAATGCCGTCTCTGCGCGGACACAAGGCGGGTCAGAGCGCGCTCAAGGAGAGAGAGCGAGAGGGGGGGGGACGCACCCTCGCAGCGCAGAGATGGGCAGGACGGCGCTCTCGCTCACGTCGAGCTTGTCGACGATGTGGCGGTTGAACATTTGCTTGATGTCCTCGACGGCCATGGCGCCCTCGCAGTCCTGCTTGTTGGCGAGCACGAGCGTCGGGACGCCGTCGACGCGGTGGTCCGTCACGATCGTCTCTGCGGACGGCGAGTGAGCGCTCGTCGGCGGCGGCGGCTCCTCGGTCGGTCGGTCGAGAGGGGCAAGGGGGACGCACCAAAGACGGCCCAGCACTCCTCTATCCGCTCCTTGTCGGTCGAGTCGATGACAAAGACGACGGCGTGGCAGTCGGCGTAGTACTTGGTCCAGATGCTGCGGATGTCGCGTTGCCCTGCGTGCGTGGGACGACGTCAGTCGACTCGTTCAGGTCGTCGGAAGAGGAAGAGGAGACGCACCGCCGAGGTCCCAGAACTGCAGCACGGTCGACGAGAGCGTGATCCGCCCGACTGCGGGTTCGGCGAGCGGTCAGTCGCGGCGCCCGGACGGCGAGGCATGGGCGAAGAGGGGGACGCACTGTTCTGTCCGATCGTGGGCGCGATGCTCTTGGGGTCAATGTCGGCCGTGCGGTTGAAGGTGCTCTTGACCTTCTCTGCGAGGCGACCGGGGAGGTCAGCGTCGTCACGAGGAAGGGCGACACGACGAGAGGCGGTAGGACGCACCGAGGAAGGTCGTCTTGCCGGCGTTGTCGAGGCCCATGATGAGGACCGAGTACTGCAGAGCGGCGAACAGGGGGCCAAGGTCAGCCGAGGCGCGAGGGAGGCGAGAGAGGGGGGTTGGTGGGCACACCTCTTGTTTCTGCATGAGGTGGGCGACAAAGCCCGTCACGAGGCGGTACATGGCGGGCGTCGAGCAGGTGCGCGAGCCCTGACGAGAGAGAGAGAGCCGGGGAGGTGGGCGGTGCCGGGGTGCGGGGGGACGCTCAATGGAGCGGGCGTGGGCCGCGGTGCTTGGGTGGATGGAGAGCAGCGAGCCAGCAAGGAGGCAGTCGGGCCTGCTCAGGGCGACGAGACGTCGACGAGAGAGAGTCGGACGAGGGCGTCCTCATCAACCGACTGACCTCTCGCACCTCCTGCTCGACCGTGCGCTGCTCTGCAAGGTGCCCAGCTCATCACCAAGCCCGCTTGTCCCGTCACTGCACCGTCGAATCGCCCGCTCGCCCTCGCCCTCGCCCTCTCGTCGTCTCCCCACCAGCAAGTCGGCCCACCCGCCTGCGCGCTCTCGCACCCCGTCCACCGAGCTGACAAGCCCTCCCCCGACACAGTGGGTCAGTCCTCGAGTGCCGTGAAGGTCACCCCGCAAGACCGCTCCATCCTCGAGTCCGTCCTCTCGTCCTCCTCCCTCCCCCCACCTCGTCCTTCGCCGCCTTCTCGCGTCCACGCTGATCGAGCCTCGCGCCCACTCTCTACACACAGCCTCAAGCTCCAACGCGACAAGCTCAAGCAGTACCAGCGACGTGTGCGTCCCTCGACACTCTCCTCACGCGGGCCTCGCCGCCGCCTCGCCCGGCGACGGTTGCGCCCTCGTGCTGTACCGAGTCGACCTGACGCTCTCTCTCTCTCCCGGCACCGCAGATCGAGGTCGTCCTCGCTCGCGAGCGCGAGATCGCCGCCGACTCGCTGCGCCAGGGCAACAAGCAGCGCGCGCTCACGGCCCTGCGCCAGAAGAAGTACCAGGAGCAGCTCTTGTCGCAGACAGACGCCCAACTCGAGACGCTGCAGAAACTCGTGCGTGGCCGCTCCTCTGCCTATCGTCGGTTCGTCCTCGCGCTGGCTGTCGTCGGTGCGGGACGAGCCGTACAGCTTTCGTTCGATGGACCTCGCTCACTCTCGCTATTTCTCGCCCGCAGGTCCAGTCGATCGAGTACTCGCTCGTCGAGAAGGACGTCCTGTACGGCCTGCAGCAGGGCAGCGAGGTCCTCAAGCAGCTCAATAAGGAGATGGACCTCGCCACGGTCGAGCGCCTCATGGACGACACGCGCGAGGGCATCGCCTACCAGGAGGTGCGTCGCCGCGGTCCTCTCGCCCTTCACGGACATTCTCGATTTTCGTCGAGTACCGTCACTGATACTCGAAGATGCCGGACGAACACAGGAGGTCAGCGCGCTCCTGTCGAGCCGGATGTCGGCCCAGGACGAGGAGGACGTGCTCGCCGAGCTCGCGGCGATGCAGGCAGAACAGGTGCGTCGCCTCTTTCTCCCATGGCCCCGAGCGTTCGCGCGGCACGTCCGCCATGCGGCCGCGAGGGTACGCCGTCTGGTCGACGCGAGGCTCACCTGCTGCCCCTCGCCCGCAGACCTCGACCAAGCTCCCCGAGGCGCCCTCACACGCCCTTCCCGAGGTCGAGCGACCAGCCGTCGTCGTCGACACCGAGGCGGACGAGGAGGAGGGCGAGCGCCAGGCTGTGCGGGCACGGCCAGAGCGGCAGCTCGTCGCGGCGTGAGCCTGAGCGGCGGCGCGCGCGCGCTCCCTGTTGTACCTTTCTCGCGCGACGGAGGTGTAGACTTTCTGTGCCTGTATCGAGCTGTTCGACGAGTCCTTGCGTGCAGTTGCTCGTCCTCGAGAGCGCTTTGCCCGGCTCGCAGGAAGAGGCTCGACCTCGCGCTTGCCGCCTTTGCCTCTGCTTGCCCGGCAGCTCGTCTCTCAGTTCGTGAGTGCATCAGAGTCCACACAGGCTGCTACTCGCCGCTCCTGAGAGGTGTTTGTTGATCTCGTCTCGCCGTTGCCGTCGGCGTCTCGCCCCGTTCGCTCCACCGCTGCTCGGCTTCCACACAAGATGAACCAGGAAGAGCTCGAGACGTACGAGGTGCGTCCACATCCCACTCTCCCGCCGCCCCAGAGCCCCGACTGACCCTCCCTCACCTCCCTCGCCCCCGCTCCACCCGATTCCTCATCTCTCTCTCGCCGGCTCGACCGCGCACCACCCGCCTGCAGTACCAGCTGTCGCAGATCAAGCTCGGTCTCGTCAAGGACCCGAACAACACCGAGCTGCAGACGCTCAAGAGCGAGCTCGAGGACCTCATCTCGCTCACCCGCCAGTACCTCGGCGCTCAAGCTGCACCCGCCCCGCCGGCCGCCTCGTCCTCTTCGTCCGCCGCACGAGCATCCTCAGCACCATCGCCAGCACCGCGCGCCTCGCCCGCCTCGGGCCGACCCGCCACCCTCGGTGCCGCCCCGTCGACCTCGTCCACCACCTCGAGCGCGCCGCAGCACAAGTTCGCGACGGGCGACGACTGCTCGTGCCGGTACAGCGACGGCAAGTGGTACCCTGCGCGCATCACGAGCATCACCGGTCCGGCCGACCAGCCGATCTACACGGTCGTGTACCGCGGGTACGACACGCCCGAGTCGTGCTCGGCGGGCGACGTGCGGCCGCTGAGCAAGTGGGACGCCAAGGAGGCGAAAGAGCGCGAGGCGCAGCAGCAGGGCGACAAGCGCAAGTTGATGAGCGCCGCCGGGCCCGCCGAGCTGAGCAAGGACGACGTCGAGAAGGAGCGCAAGCGGCGCAAGAACGAGAAAAAGGCAGAGACGCAGAAGGCAAAGGCCGAGGAGGCGAGCTCAAAGGCCAAGAGCTGGCAGAGCTTTGCCAAGAAGGGCACGAAGAAGGGCGTGCACATCCCGGGCGTCGCAGGTGCGTCCTCCCTCTCTCTCCCTTCCTCTCTCTCTCCCTCTCTCGCCTCCGACCATTGTCCTCTTCCGGCCTCGCCTGACACTCCCTCTCTCTCTCTTCCACCAAACAGGCGGCAGCATGTTCCGCTCTCCCGACGACGGCAACCCCAACGCGAAAGGTGCGCTCAGACCCTTTCCTCTCTTCCGCTTCCTCCTCTCTCAAGCGACGTCCTGAGCCTGTCGTCCCACAGTCGGCGTCGTCGGTGGCGGTCGCGGCATCACGCAGAACACGCAGCGCAAGCGCCAGACGTTCCAGGAGGGCGGCGACGACTGAGCTCTCCACCCACCCTCGTTCCCTTTCTCGCCCCCTTCCCTCTCTCGCCTTTCCCTCATCGCGCACCCCCCTCATCAGCCCATACGCCGTCGTAGCATCTTTATTGACACTCCCCTACCCCTCTACCCTCCCAAGGAATGTACCACCTAGTTATCCCGGCCGCGGCTCGCGAGCGTCCAAAGTCGAGGCGAGATGCGCCCCTCTTGCCTCAATCCGCACTCGCCCGACTGACGGTCCTCGTCACAGTCCTCGAGAGATGCAGAGCGTCCCTCTCGGGCCAGCCTCGGCCGTCGCTCGGCTCTGCTTGCGCTCGTGCCCGTCCGAGTCGGGCTGTCTCGCTTCTCTTTCGCCTCGCGCTCGCCGTCTCTCTCGGTTCGAGCGCTCGAGACGTCCTTTCCTGCTCGCTTGCCGCTCTCTCTCGTTTCGTCGCCGTCATCGCCTGTCTGCCTCTCGCGGCGCCAGAAGGAGGAGGAGCGGGAGAAGTGCCGATCCGTAGTTGCACAAGGAGCGCTCGAGCTGGAATAAATCAACACGGTCACGCCGTCGCCTGCCACACGCCCTTGAGCTGAGCGATCGCGGCGATCGTGCCGCACACGCCGACCCAGGTGTTGTTGGGGAGGAGGCCGCCGGGGAGGGACCTGCGCGCTCGAGAGCTCGTCAGGGCCGAACGCTCTCGACACCGACCGAGACGAAGAGAGAAAAGAGAGGGCAAGAGGACGCACCAGTGAGCGGTGAGGGGCAGGTACCCTGCCTGGACCCAGCAGTCGCGCTTGAGGTTGGCCTCCTGCTTGACGAGCGCGGCGAGCTGCGCCTTCTCGTCCTGGACGACCTCGGGCGCCGTGTTGCCCGCACGGACGCGCTCGCGCGTCGAGCGGATGAGGGCGCTGCGCGACTGGCGCAGGAGCTGGAACGAGCGGCGGATGTGGAAGATCTGCCTGCGGGTCGGGGAGGTGCGAGAGAGGGCGGGTCAGGAGGGGTTCGAGAGGCGAGGGCAGGGGACGAGGGGACGCACAGGACGACGTAGGCGGCCCAGAAGCGGCAGGACCAGACGGCAATCTTGCCAATGCGCTGCGGCGAGACCTTGAAGATGCCCTTGCCGGCGAGGTAGTCTGCGGCGCGACACCACTCGTCAGGTCTCTGCCGCTCGCCTCGCCAGCTGCAAGGAAGTGAGAGGGACGTACAGAAGTGCTCGAGCGGGTAGTAGAGGATCATCGACAGGCACTGGAGCCTCTGGATCGTGAGGAGCTGCCCGTCCTTGGGCTGGCGCGCCGGGTCGTTGAGCGACTGGGCCCACTGGATGATCGGGAAGATGCCAAAGATGCGATAGCTGCGGACGAGAGTGAGAGTGAGTGAACTGGGCGCGGCGTAAGAGAGACTCTAGAGAGGGAGAGGGACGCACAGCACGCGAGCGTCCGAGATGGTCGCGCGCAGCTTCTCGACCCGGAGCGCAAGGTCGGCATTGGTCTTGCTCTGGAGGCGCTTCGAGTTGAGGGCGGCGACCACAATGTGGGCGGCGTCTGCAGTGCATGCGAGGGAGACGGGGTCAGCGGGTTGGGCGAGAAGTGGGGAAGACGAAGGGGAGGGGGGTAGCGAGGCGACGACCTGCTCCGCCGCGTGCGCGCCAAGGGGACAAGGAGAGAGCTGAGACGCACACTGGTAGACCATGAAGAGCCTGTCCTGCCCGCTCTGGCTGCTCGAGACGCGGACAAAGTGCGCCAACACCGGCGACGGCATGGCGAAGGGGCTGAGCGACAGTCCCGAGGGCTTGCTGGGCATCGTGGCTAAACTTGGTGGGCTAACGGGTTGGTCGAACGGGTCGGAGCAGGCACTGAGCCTTGCGGTGAGGCGGTTTGAGGAACGGGGAGATGAGGACGTGGGGAGGAGGGCGACGTCTCGAGCGGGCGGTCGGGCGGTCGGGTAGTCGGCGGTGCGGCTCGAGTCGGTGCTCTAGTGCGCAGACCTGGTCGGTGTTGGGCTGGCTGAGCGGGAACGAGGGGCAGAGAGACGAGCAAACCGGGTCGCGAGAGACCGGTCGGCGCCGCCGCGCTCGAAAGTCGACCGTCGTCGCTCCTCCAGTGGTAGTGCGAGGCTGCAGGGCTCGACGATGCTCTAGTACGACCGCACATCGACAGTACGCGAGCTGTGCCGGGCGAGCGACGAGAGGGTCCGACCGCTCGCCCTGGCTTGCCGCCGCCTCGCGCGAGCTTCGAGCTTCAAGCACCAGCGAGACTTCGGTGCCTGCATCCTCTCGTTCAGAGCTGCGCGCAACCGGAAGACCCAGAGCTAGTCCAGAGCGCGCGCGCAAACAGTCTGCCCCGTCGACCTTCTCAAACTCGCTCGGACCTCGGTCGCTTCTCGACAAGGTACGGCACGCTCGTTCCACAGCCGGCCAGCTCTACTGCCGCAGCTCCGCAAGCCCTCCCGACTCGACGATCTCGCCCCAAAGCGTGTCCAGCACGTTGAGGAGGAGGTGCGCCTTCTCGAGGTTGACCTGTGGTCGAGGGCGCGCGAGAGAGAGTCAGTTCGCCCAGCTCGACACGAGGAGACGGAAGAGAGGAACAGGCCGAGACGCACCTGCAGGCTGTAGTGCATCGAGTCGTACGAGAGCGCGCCCTCGCTCATGCCGTAAAAGTCGAGGTACCTCCAACCGCCAAGAGCGGCCTCGGCGACGGGACTGTGCGCCCGCATGGCCATCTCGACCTGCTGCTTGAACGCGCGGACCTTGTGCGGGCCTTGCCCTGCGATACCGGGCAACCGCACGTGAGCCTGTGGACCTCGCCGGCGGGACCTTCTCGAGGTGGGGGAGGAAGGGCGCGAGCGAGAGGGGACGCACGCTCCATGTACTGCTGCGGGAAGTTCTCGCCGGGCTTGTGCGGCCCTGCAAAGAGGTTGAGCGGGACCGGGTACTGGCGAGAGAGGCGGTCGACGCTCGTCGGCCACCACTCGCTCTCGAGCTGCGAGAACTCGTAGTTGAAGTGCGCGCCGAACGCCTGTGAGTGGACGGAGAGCTGTCAGTGGCGCGACGAGGCAGGAGTGGGAGACGACGAGGCAGGAGTGGAAGAGAGAGGACAAGGCAGCTCACGGTGACGAAGACGGGCGAGTAGAGGTGCGAGCGCTTGGGAAGGCGATCCCGCCAGTCGCGGTAGAAGTCGTAGGTGACGCTGCGTGCGGGAGGGACAGTCAGTACGGCGCGCTCGACGACACGCGACACTAGCCGAGGCGGGAAAGGGAGACGCACACGTTGGGCTGGTACCTGCCGGCGAAAGGAGGGGAGGTCAGCTCGCTCGAGGAGGACAGAGCGCCAGACGAGCGGGGACGCACATGGCCGCATAGTACAGCTGCGTCTGCCCGCCGCAGACAGGGTAGCCGGCGTGCGTGTCGAACGCGACCCGAGTGCGGCAGGTCTTGCCGTCGTCGAACATGTGCTCGCCTCGGCAGTCGCTCGTCGTCTCAAAGTCGGTGACGGCGCCGTCGATGCGGCCGCGCAAGATCATGAGCAGGGCAGAGAAGATGTGGCGGCCGAGCGAGTCGCCCGTCAAGTAGAGCCTGCAGGGACAACAGGGTCAGTGCGCTTCTCGAGCGGGAGAGGGGGCGAGAGCGAGGACGCACCCGCCGAACGCGCTCAGCAGCTCGCACGCCTCGTCGGGCGAGTAAACCTTGAGGACCTCGCACGAGCTTGCGCCAGGTGCGCCGGCATCGTCGACGTGTCCTCGCTCGCCGCCCAAGTCGAACGACCACTCGATCGGGACCAGCTCGACGTCCTTGGGCTCGCTAAAGTCGGGGTGCGTGCTCGCGCCGTCAGGACGCACCTTGGCGCCCTTGATCGCCTCGAGGAGGTCGTCGGTCGAGCACGAGGTCGAGGTCGAGAGCCCGTCGGCGGCGCGGCGGCGAGGGCCGACGAGCGTCGGGTGGTAGGCCTTGGGCGCGCCGCGAGAGGACCCTCGGGAGGTCGAGGTAGAGCGGGAGAGGGAGTAGGGCGCGGTTGAGATGGAGAAGAGAGTCGCGAGACTGACGGCGAGGAGGACGAGGAAGTAGCGCAGCTGACGGCGTTGAACAGCGACGGCCCATGCCCGATACGCGCCCGCCTCGTCGCTCGCGCACTGCGGGCCGTAGAGAGGATGAGCTCCTGTGCAGGCTGGCGAGAGGTGAGGGGACGTACAGGCTGCGCGACGACGTCTCGCGGCTTCTCGAACAGCGTCTCGACCTTGTCGTCCGAGGCGAACGAGTCGTCCTGGTCAAGCCCTGGCGTGCCGGGGATCGAGACGTAGTCGTGTGAGGGGTGTGTCGGCATCGTCGGACGGTGATGAGGGTGCGACGACGAGAGGCGATCGAGGTGGGGGAGGAGCGAGTCGGCGAAGGCGGCGCAGCTGAGGGCGGGACGACGCCGGCGATGGAGCGCGTAGCCAAGGGGAGCAGGAGCAGGAGCAAGAGGGAGGGCCCTCGCGTCCGGAACGGTGTTGTTGCCCTTGGCGCGGCAGGTTCGAATTGCATCTGGACGCGCCGCTCGACGCGATTCACTCGCCGGCGACAATGACCCGGGAGACCGCAGGCGGCGCGAGCAAGGCGCACGGGTACCGTCGCAGCATGGCGAGAACGCGGGTACATAGCTGGCGTCCTCGAGCTTGGCAACTCGACAGTTGACGCGAGCTGGACGAGCCGACAAGGGAGCCGAGGTCGCGGCGCGGTACCTGGCTGAGCGAGAGCCGCCGTGCAGAGAGCAGTCCCGGCAGCTTGCATCGCAGCAGGGCCCGCCGTGAGGGCGGGGCGACGGGAGCCGGGTGTGGCTGAGGACGAGGAGCTTGGAATCGCGACCGCCTCGTCTGCTCTCCACCAGCCGCTTGCGAACCCGGCCAGAATGGACGACATGCGTGAGCACAGCCTTCAGTGCACCCCTGTACGCGCGGCACTGACCCACTCGCCGTCCCTTGCAGCCATGGTGCGCCTCCTTCTTCAGCACCGCCTCAATCGTCATCTCCCCCCTTCAACCCTCGCCCCCGGCACACACGGTACCGGGCGAACTGACACGCCCTCGCACAGCTCACAGGTCCCGCCGACAAGGACGCCATCGACGCGTTCCTCGCCAAGCACAAGCCGTCGAGCGCCGACACCTCGGTCGGCCCCTGGATCTGGGTGCGCCTCCCGAGGGAAGGCAAGGACAAGATGGCCGACGAGCTCAGCGAGGAGGACCACCGCTACTTTGCGCTCACGGCGGCGGGGCGACTGATCATCAACGGCCTGATGGAGAGGCTCGACGAGATCAAGGTGCGCCCCACTCTCGCTCGCTCCCTTCTCGACCACGCTGACCCCCTCCCGCCCTCTCCTCCAGGCGACAGCTCCTGTCCGCGCCAACAAGGCCAGGGGCCTGCGCTCCCAGAAGGACTGTGCGTCGCCGTCGCCTCCCTTCCTCGCGTCCCCGCTTCGCCCACCACAATCTGACCACACTCGCCCGAGCAGTGCGCGAGGAGGCCCACGACAAGTTCAAGGACGACACCAAGGAGCTCGCGCAGAAGCACAACGTCCTCGACGGCAAGTGGCTGCTGCGCCCGACCCCCGAGAACGTCGACTTTGTCTGGAGCAAAATCGTCCATGCCGTCGCCGACAAGGACGGCCCGCTCGCCAAGACGGGCGCGGTCCACTGCGCCAAGGTCGCGACGACGTCGATGGGCGAGCGCAGCACGCACGTCATCTGCATCTACTGCGACGACAGTTGGGACGAGCAGGCGGCCGGCGACGTCTTCAAGGTCCTTGTCCGCGACCTCGGCCAGGTGTCGGGGTCGTACAAGCCCGACGTCCTCACCGTCCTCGGCATCGACTCGAAGCACGCGAGCGGCCTGCCCGTGTCGCTGTACAAGTCGACGACGTTCATGACCCAGAAGGAGATCGACGCCGCGCTCGAGGCCGTGTCGAAGAGGGGCGACGCCAAGGTCAAGACGGCCAAGGTCAAGACGCTCGAGGACGAGAAGGCGTCGGGCGCTTCCGACGGGTTCGACCCGGTGTCCGAGTCGGAGGACGACAAGCCGCGCAAGAAGGCGAGGCGCGCCTGAGGAGGTCCGCGCGCTCCCTTTCCGCGTCGTCCGATACCCAGCTTGAGTCGTCATACCTTTTCTTCGTACTGCAATGTCGTTCCTGTCTGTCCCGAGTCCCCCTCGCAGCCGATTGAGCGAGAGTCGTTCGACCCGATCGCGCCGGCTGCCGCCCTCGCGCCTCGTCAGGGAGGGATCTCTCGCAAGCTCTCTCTCTTCCGCCACCCCACCAGCAGCCAGCAGAGCAGCTCGCACAGCACCGACAGAGCTACCTGCACGCCGTCACCTGCCTCGACACGCACCCGCCGCGCTTCCCATCTCCCTCCTCGAACCAGCTCCCTCGCTCATCGAACGATGGCACCCGCTCCGCCGGCAAAGTACCAGGCGGCGCCCAAGTCGCTCCACTACGAGTTTGGCGGCCCACTCGGCGCACTCGGCGTCGTGCTCGCCGTGCCCTTCTTCTCCTACTGTGCGCTCGCCTCTCCCTCCTCGCACCCCATCCAACCGGCGAAAGCTGACCTCCGAGGGTGTCGCGCACGCAGGGCTGCCGTTCGCCGCACAGAGCAACTTCCAGCTGAGCAAGTTTGCCGAGTTTCACGCGGCGGGCTGGCGCGCCATGCACGACCGCGCGTGGTGGGAGAGCCTGTGGAGCTGGGAGGCGTTCGCCGTCTACCTCGGGTGGTACTTCTGGTGTGTCGTCTGCGCGATCGCGCTCCCGGGCAAGGAGGTCGACGGCGCCGAGCTGCGCAACGGCAAGCGCCTCAAGTACACGATGAACGGTGCGCCCCGCCCTTTCCCCCTTCCTCGTCCTCCTCGTCATCTCGAGGAGCTCACTCGCTCGCCCACCGTGCAGCCTTCTCGACCGCCATCCTCACGCTCGCCATGATCGGCGCCTGGACGTTCAAGTTCGGCCCGGGCGCGCTCCTGTACATCCCTCATCACTGGGCTCAGCTCGTCTCGGCGGCCTTTGCCTGGAGCACTTTCCTCGTGCGTCGTCGCGCTCGCTCTCTTATTCATCGCCCGCACGACCTGACACACAAGGACCTACAGGCGACGTTCGTCTTCTTCCAGAGCTACATGGGCGAGCAGATGCTCGCGCTCGGCGGCAACACGGACAACGCGTTTTACAACGTGCGTCCCGCCTCTCCCTCTCTCTCACTCTCACAAGCATCTACTGACCCTCGCACGCACAGTGGTTCATCGGTCGCGGCCTCAACCCTCGCCTCGGCGACTTTGACATCAAGTCGTTCAACGAGATGCGCCCGGGCCTGATCCTCTGGGTCGTGTTCGACTTGGCGTTCGTCGCGTGGCAGTACGAGCGCATCGGGCGCGTCACCGACAGCATGGTCCTCACCGTCGCGTTTCACGCGTGGTACGTGCTCGATGCGGAGTTCAACGAGGTGCGCTCGAGCCTGTCCTCCTCGCTCGTTCACTCTCGAGCCTCGACTCGGACGCTCACGGTCTCCCTCCTTCGTACACAGGCCGCCATCTTGACGACCATGGTGCGTCCTCTCTGCCCTCGAGACTGTCTGCGACGAGGCCCTGACTCGCTCCCTCGCGCAGGACATCACGACCGACGGCTTCGGCTGGATGCTTTCGGCGGGCGACCTCCTGTGGGTCCCGTTCACGTACGGCTACACGGCCTTCTTCCTCGCGCTCCACCCCAAGGACCTCGGCGTCACCGGGTGTGCGGGCGTCCTCGCCGTCCAGCTCGTCGGGTACTACATCTTCCGCACGAGCAACAACGAGAAGAACGAGTTCCGCCTCGGCCGCAACCCCAAGAGTGCGTCCCCTCCTTCTCTCTTTTCTCTTCGCGCCGCATCTCTGACCGTGTTCGACGTGTGCGCAGACCTCAAGTCGTTCCAGACCGAGCGTGGCACTCGCCTCCTCACGTCGGGCTGGTGGGGCCTGTCGCAGCACCCCAACTAGTGCGTCGCACTCTCCCTTTCCTCCTCCCGCATGCGCATCGACTCTTTGTGCGCCTGCCTGACTCTCCCCGTCCTCCCCTCCCTCTTGCGCTCGTGCAGCATGGGCGACTGGATCATGTCGTGGGCGTGGTGCCTCCCCTGCGGGTTCCAAAGCCCGCTCCCGTACTTCTACGTCATTTACTTCGGCATCCTGTTGTTCCACCGCCAGACTCGCGACGACGAGGCGTGCGCGCTCAAGTGCGTCCCCTCGCTCCTCTTTCCTTTGGGGCGCGCTCGGGCCCAGCCTCGGGTGCGCCCGGCTTGATGAGCGACGACTGACGCGAGCCTGTTGCGCCCTCGTGCAGGTACAAGAAGGACTGGGAGACGTACAAGAAGCTCGTGCCGTACCGGTGCGTCGAGTCTCTCTCCGCTTCCCTCCGCGGCTCGCGGGTTGGCCTGCACCGCCTCGTCGCCCTTTCTCCTCTCCTCCGCTCGTCCGCTCACCCTTCTCTGCGTCGTCGACAGCATCATCCCCTACGTGTACTAGACCTGGCCGTAGCAAAGAGAGCGTTGGAGCGCGAGAAATGCTTGAGACAGAGTCGGAGTGCAAGCGGTTGGGCTCGCGAGGAGAGAGCGTCCGATGGAGAGCTGTCCGGCGGGTCTCCCAGCTCGACGTTGATAGCGTGCAGCTGCTCGGAAGAGTGGCCCTAGCGAGGCAGAGAGCCGCGAGGGGAGGATTCGACGGACCGCTTCGAGGCCAACCGCGAGAGCATCCACCGCCTCCGCTTCCCCTCCTCACCTCCCGCCCGCCTAGCTCGCCAGAGCAAGGACACCGCACCCTCGCACATCTCGGCTCGGCCCTCCTCTTGCGCCCCTCTCGCCTCGCCGTCCTCGTCTCCCCTCGTCGCTCCTCTCCTGTACGTCTCCCAACCGCTCGCTCTCCCCCCTTTTCCCGGCCCCCTCGCCTCCCAGCCGCGACGTGGCTGCCATCAGTTCACTCGAGACCATCTTGGCTCGCGTCACTGCGAGCCGCATGGGCTCGGGAGGGGTTGCGCTCGCGGTGGTCTGTCCCGATTCAGCCCCCACCCGACTCGAGCGCGCTCAAGGCACCCGCCAGAGCCACGAGCCAGCCCCTGGTCGCATCCTGGCGCCTGTACGAGCGGCCTCGAGCGCAGAGCAGGCCAGCGCTTGAGCAGCACGAGCTGACACGCTCGCCTCCGCAGGCACCTCCTCGTCCGCCCGCCTCCTCCCTCCTCCCTCTCGGCCCGCCCAGCTCGTGCGACCCGCCATGAACGGTCACCACACCCGTGCCGGCACCGGCGCCAACACGCCGTTCCACACCGCCACTTCTCGCCCTCTCGTCCTCCTCCATCCGTCAACCCAGACCCGCGTCTCGCTCCACGTCCCCTCGACCCCGCAAGAGTGGATCGCCGCCGAGGTCGCGCGCGACACGTTCCAGGACTGGCTCCACGCCGAGGACAAGAGCGGCAACCTCGTCGGGTTCGAGGCGGCCGAGATCGACGAGGACGACGTCGCGCAGGACGGCATCGACGAGCACCAGCTCGTCCTCACCGCCTACTTCCTCGCCCATGTCGCCAGCCTCCTCCCCTTCCCGGCGACCGCCACCTCGCCCGCGACGGCGGCCGTCCTCCACGCCGCGTTCACCTACTTCGCGCACGAGTACCTGTCCACGACCGACGTTCACTCGCTCGGCGCGGCCCTGTCGGCCCCGGTCCGCACCCTTGTCATCTCGTCCTACTTTGTCGCCAAGAGCAAGCTCGAGACGGCCGGCCACGCGCGCACGCTCCCCAAGCAGCCGCAGCCCGCCCTCCTCCAGCAGGCGTCCAAGGGCACCGCCGAGCTGTACGCCCTCTTTGGCGGCCAGGGCATGAACGAGGTCTACTTTGACGAGCTCCAGGTGCGCCCCCTCTCCCTCTCTCTGTCTCTCTCGATCGACGACGAGTCGTGGAGCGCGGGCACTGACCCTCTCTGCCCTCCCGGCGCACGCAGTCGCTCTACGACCTCTACTCGCCGCTCCTCGTTCCCTTCCTCACCCGCGCCTCGGAGCACCTCGTCGCGCTCGCCGCCGCCGAGTCGTCGACCCTCCTGTACCAGCACTCGCTCGACGCCCTGTCGTGGCTCCAGGACCCGTCGACCCGCCCCGAGGTCCCGTGCCTCGCGTCGTGCGCCGTGTCGCTCCCCCTCATCGGCCTCACCCAGCTCGCCCAGTACGTCGTGTACGGCAAGGGCTCGTCGCTCGGTCCGGCCGAGCTCGGCGCCCAGTTCAAGGGCGCGACCGGCCACTCGCAGGGCGTCGTGTCGGCCCTCGTCATCGCGCGCGAGTACCCGGCGGCCAAGGGCGACGGCAGCGACGCGTGGATCCCGTTCTACGAGCAGGCGCTGCGCGGCCTGAGCGTCCTGTTCCAGATCGGCCTCCAGGGCACGCTCGCGTTCCCGCCGCTGTCGATCTCGCCCGCGCTCCAGGCGAGCTCGCTCGAGAACGGCGAGGGCACGCCGACGGCCATGCTCGCCGTCACGGGCCTCGAGCTCAAGACGCTCGAGAACAAGATCGCCGAGGCCAACTCGCACGTCGCCGGCGAGGGCCGCGACGAGACGGTCCAGGTCTCGCTGTACAACGGGCCCAAGGCCTTCGTCGTCACGGGCAACCCCAAGGACCTCGTCGGCCTCGCCGACGGCCTGCGCAAGATCCGGGCGCCCGTCGGCAAGGACCAGTCCAAGGTGCCCCACTCGAAGCGCCTCCCCGTCTTCTCGATGCGGTTCCTCGCCATCAACGTCCCGTACCACTCGACGCTCCTTTCCGGCGCGACCGACAAGGCGCTCGCCGCCCTCGCCGATGCCGACGGCGCGTTCTGGGCGCCGTCGTCGCTCACGTGCGCCGTGTACAACACCGAGGACGGCTCGGACATGCGCGCCGCGTCGGCGCCGTCGCTCCTCGAGTCGGTGTTCACCCAGATCTTTACGTCGCCGATCTACTGGGCGTCCAAGGCGACCAACTTCCCGGCGTCGGCGACGCACGCGATCGACTTTGGCACGGGCGGCGCGAGCGGCATCGGCAGCCTGTGCATGCGCAACTGGGAGGGCCGCGGCATCCGCACCGTCATGCTCGGCAACCGCGCGACGGGCGTCGGCGCCGGCAAGGAGGCGTGGGGCAGCGTCGTCCCCGTCGAGCACAAGTGGGACGACAAGTTCCACCCGCGCCTCGTGCGCACGAGCGACGGCAAGGTGCACCTCGACACGCCCTTCTCGCGCCTCCTGTCCAAGCCGCCCCTCATGGTCGGCGGCATGACGCCGACGACGGTCAAGGCCGGCTTCGTGTCGGCCGTCCTCAAGGCCGGCTACCACGTCGAGCTCGCCGGCGGCGGGCACTACAACGAGAAGGCGGTGCGCGCCAAGGTGGCCGAGATCCAGAAGCTCGTCGACCAGCCCGGCATCGGCCTCACGCTCAACTGCCTGTACATCAACCAGCGCCAGTGGACGTTCCAGAACCCGCTGTGGCAGCAGATGAAGAAGGAGGGCGAGCCGATCGAGGGCCTGTGCGTCGCCGCCGGCATCCCCTCGACCGAGAAGGCCAAGGAGATCATCGACGGCCTGCGCGACGCCGGCATCAAGCACGTCTCGTTCAAGCCCGGCTCGGTCGACGGCATCCGCCAGGTCGTCAACATCGCGTCGAGCAACCCGGACTTCCCCATCATCCTCCAGTGGACCGGCGGGCGCGCCGGCGGCCACCACTCGTGCGAGGACTTCCACGCGCCGATCCTCGCCACGTACGCCTCGATCCGCCAGCACCCCAACATCCGCCTCGTCGCCGGCTCTGGGTTCGGCGACGCCAAGGGCTGCTACCCGTACCTGTCGGGCCAGTGGTCCGAGGAGCTGTACGGCGTCGCGCGCATGCCGTTCGACGGCTTCATGTTTGCGTCGTGGGTCATGGTCGCCAAGGAGGCGCACACGAGCGAGAGCGTCAAGCAGCTCATCGTCGACGCGCCCGGCGTCGACGACGACAAGTGGGAGGCGACGTACGACAAGCCGACCGGCGGCATCCTCACCGTCAACTCGGAGCTCGGCGAGCCCATCCACAAGGTCGCCACTCGCGGCGTCAAGCTCTGGGCCGAGTTCGACAAGTGCGTCCTCCTCTCTCTCTCTCTCTTCTCTCTTTCCCCTCGTCGTCGTCGCCATCATCGTCCAGCACTGACCTCGTCGCGCCCTTTTTCGCGCTCTCCCCCTCCTCGCAGGAAGGTCTTCTCGCTCACCAAGGAGAAGCAGGTCGCGTGGCTCGCCGACAACAAGCAGTACGTCATCGACCGCCTCAACGCCGACTTCCAGAAGCCGTGGTTCCCGGCTAAGGCCGACGGCTCGTCGTGCGACCTCGCCGAGATGACCTACGCCGAGGTCAACGCGCGCCTGGTGCGCCTCATGTACGTCGCGCACGAGAAGCGCTGGATCGACCCGTCGCTGCGCAACCTCACGGGCGACTGGATCCGCCGCGTCGAGGAGCGCCTCAGCAACGTCAACGACTCGAACGTCAAGGTCTCGGTCCTCCAGAGCTACTCGGAGCTCAACGACCCGCACGCGTTCCTCGACAAGTTCCTTGAGGCGTTCCCGGCCGCCAAGGACCAGATCCTCGCCTCGGCCGACGTCGCCTACTTCCTCGCCATCTCGCAACGCCCCGGTCAGAAGGTGCGCCTCTCGTCTCTCCTCCTCTCCTCTCCTCTCGTTCCTGTCGAGCGACGTTCACTGACCCGCCCTGCCTTCGTCCACGCGCAGCCCGTCCCGTTCATCCCGGTTCTCGACGCGAGTTTCGGCATCTGGTTCAAGAAGGACTCGCTGTGGCAGGCCGAGGACATCGAGGCCGTCTTCGACCAGGACCCGCAGCGTGTCTGCATCCTCCAGGGCCCGGTCGCCGTCAAGCACTGCACGTCGACGCAGATCCCGATCGCGACCATGCTCGGCGAGATCCAGGACGAGCTCGTCGAGCGCGTCCTCGCCGACTACTACGGCGGCGACGCGACCAAGGTCCCCGAGATCGACTACCTCGCGCCGCAGCCCAAGCCGGTCGACCCGGTCTCGTTCGCCGCCGAGCACAACGTCGCGCACGCCGTCGAGGACCTCGCCGACGGCGCCAAGAAGCACGTCTTCTCGATCAACGGCGTCCTCCCGCCGACGGGCGAGTGGCTCAACGCGCTCGCCGGCCCCAAGCTCGGCTGGCTCCAGGCCTTCCTCAGCAACGTGTCGATCCAGGCCGGCGAGACGTCGGTGCCCAACCCCGTCAAGCGCGTGCTGGCACCGCGCCACGGACAGCGCGTCGAGCTCACGCTCCGCGCCGACGGCCAGCCGCTCAAGCTCGACGTCTTCTCGGCGATCCAGTGAGCGGCACGTCGGCGTCGTCCACCTGGCCCTGCCTCGTCCTTCTCTCGTTCCTCCTCCTCCTCGTCGTCGTCGTCGCGTCCCCGTTCTCGGTTCTCTTCTCCCTTAGACCCCTCCAGGCTTTCCTCCTCTTTGTCTCGCACCCGCCTGAATCTGTCCCCCCCTCGCTCTCTCCCTCCTCTCTTCCTCGTCGTCGCCGCCGAGCGGCACCTCGACTCGTCCTTCCCTCCCTCCCCCTTTGTCCGCTCCTCGTCCTCGTTCTGGTTCCCCTCTCTCTCTCCTTCGCAACCTCTTCTTCCGGTCTCTCGCTCTCTTAGGTCCTCCTCGTCAGTGCATAGAGACTCTTTCTCACGAGCAACGTGTTTGCGGCTGCGGCGAGGCCCGGGAGCATGAGAGCCGGCGAGCGAGAGAGAGAGAAAGACCGAGGTGCGAGAAATCACAGCGCGACGTTGCAGAGAGGGCTCGACACGAGAAGCGTGGCAAAGATGGGGATAAAGAGGGCGAGGCACAGAAGGACGAAGAGGGCGACTAAAGGCAGTGGGAGGGAGGAAGAGAGGGAAGCGAGGAGAGGGTGAGGAAGAGAGAGTGAGGGGAGGAGACGAGGACGCTCAGTCGTCGTCGTGCGCCGCGAGGTGGGCGGACGGCCCGGCGCGACCGTCACCGCGGAAGAGGTAGAGGATGTCCTCGAGGCCGAGCTTCTGCGCCTTGCCCATCTCGCCCTCGCCGTCGAGCGCCGCCTTGGCCAGGGCCGCCTTCTGCTGCTGGAGCGTGAGGATGCGGTCCTCGACCGTGCCGTCGATCACGAGCTTGTAGATCTTGACGTCGTCCTTCTGACCGTAGCGGTGCGCGCGGTCAAAGGCCCTGCGTGCGTGAGAGGAGGGAGGACGGACAAGGCGCGGTCAAGAGGAGGCTCGTGCGCGAACAGGATCAAGGGGGACGACGCACTGTTGCTCGATAGCCGGGTTCCACCACAGGTCGAGGAGGATGACGCGCGAGCAGACGGTGAGGTTGAGGCCCACGGCGCCGCACTTGAGCGAGACGAGGATGACGGTGCACCTCGGGTCGTTGCGGATCGCGTCGAGCGCCACGGCGCGCTCCCTCTGGTTCATGACGCCCGTGTCTGTGTGTGACCGACAGTCGAGTCAGTCAACGACTCGAGCACTCAGAAAAGAGTGCGAGAGGGAGGGAGCTCACATTTGACGAAGCGGTGACCGGCCTTCTCAAGGAAGGGCTCGAGGAGGTCGAACATGGACGTGAACTGCACGCGTGGCTCGAACGAGTCAGGCTCGGGCTCGGCTGGACATGAGAGAGAGGTGGGGAACAGAGCGGCGCACCTGCGAGAAGATGATCGTCTTTTTGGGTCCGAGCGGAACCTCGCGAGCCTTGCCCTTGCCCTGCTTGACGACGTGCGCGTTGTCGTCGAACGAGTCATCGTCCTCGTCGCTCTCGCCGCCCGACCGCTGCGACGCGATGCGGCTCGCCTCGCGGCTCTCGCGCCGCACGCCCTCGAGGATCTCGAGCGTGCGCCGCACCTTGGTCGAGCTGCGCATGCCCGCAAAGTCGGCCATGTCGATCTCGCACCTGCTGCACGTGCTCTCGCCGGCGGCCGTGCGCGACTTGCCGATCGACTTGGAGCAGATGGCGCACGCGGCGCCGGCGCGCTCGGCGGCCGGGGCGAGCGACATCGAGCCGAGCATGGACGACAGGTCGTCGGGGTCGTCGCCGGTCGACGAGCTCGAGCCCGACGGCGTAGGTGCGGCGACGGGCTTGTCCGTCTTGAGCTCGAGGCCCTCGAGGTCGGTCGCGTTCTTGAGCACGAGAGACGGGTGGTTGCACGCCTGGCGCATGCGCTGCGGGTCGAGGGGAGAGAGAAGGTCAGGGCTCGTTCGCGTCGAGTATTTGCGGCTCAAGTAGAGAGTGCGGGACGCACGAGGAGCTTGACGAGGACCTGGGTGTAGTTCTTCATCAGGTCCGCCGTCTTGAACTTCTCCATCGCCGCCCTCATCTTCTCCTCGATCTTCTCGTAGAACTCGGCCTCGCGCCTGCGCACGAGAGTCGTCAGGGCTTGCTCGTCGAGAAGAGGAGAGAGAGGAGGACGCACGCGTCGAGGAACGGGCCCTTGATCTCAAAGATCTCGCGAGACGGGAGGGCGAGGAGCGGGCGACCGTCGACCTGGTCCGTCTTGCGGCGGCGGAGCATGACGGCCTTGAGGATGATACCGAGGCGGGCGAGGGCGAGCTTGGTGCGCTTGCCGTTCATCGGCTTCTGAATCTTGGCCTTGAACTCGCCGACCTCGTGCAGCGGGCTGACGACGCGGCGGCCGAGGAACTCGAACAGCGAGAACAGGTCCATGACCTCGTTCTGGAGACTACGGACGGGCGGACGAGCCTGTCAGTACGAGGTTCGCGTCCAAAAGGGCAGAGAGAGAGAGAGAGAGAGGGACGCACGGCGTGCCCGTGAGGCACCAGCGGAAGTGGGTGTCGAGCGCGACGCACGCCTTCTGCATCTTGGTCGTGCGGTTCTTGATCTGGTGCGCCTCGTCGAGGATGACTGCGTGACGGCGAGAGCAAGAGGTGAGCGACGTCCTCTAACCTGGACGAGGTGGAGCGAGGGAGAGGGAGGCGCACCGCGGTAGAAGCCGTGGTCGAGGTCGAACAGGGCGCCGTACTCGACGCGCGAGCCGCGCTTGCCGAGCTTGCCGAGCTCGTCGAGGTCGTCGTCGTCCGCGGCGGCGCCTTTGCCCTTCTTGGCCGCCTTCTTCGGGTTCGGGTCGAGCCACTCGTTCGACAGGGTCGGGTACGAGGTGATGACGACGTCGTACTTGGCGAGCTTGCGGCCCTCTGCAGGCGCGCAAAGCGAGGGTCAGTGAGGGCTCGAGGGAAAGAGGAGAGGACGGCGGGACGCACCGGTCGTCCTCGACGCGCCGTGGTGGACGAGAACGCGCAGACGACCGTCGGTGTGGGTCGCGATCTCGCTCTTCCACTGGTCCATGAGCGCGACAGGGCACACGATGAGCGTCGTCTTGGCCTTGGGCTTGACGCGGTCCGACGGGTTGGCGAGCATGAGGGCGACTGCGGGCGAGTCAAGCACGACCCGAGGGGGACGAAGAGAGGGTCGAGGACGAGATCGAGAGAGACGAGGGATGCACTGAGCTGGATGGTCTTGCCGAGGCCCATGTCGTCGCCGAGGATGCCGCCGCGCTTCTTGCCCGTCTCGCGCTCGACGAGCCAGCGGACGCCGATCTCCTGGTGCGGCAGGAGCGTGCACTTGAGGCCGTCAGGAGGCTCCTGCGCAGGTGGACGAGCGGGAGGAGAATCGGTCAGGCGACTCGAGGAGGCGAGGAACGAGAGGCCAGAGGACGCACAAAGTCGACGAGGCTGCTCATGTCGGACGTGCCGGCGACGAGCTCCTTGAGGGCCGCCTCCTGGTCGTGCGGCGAGGCATCGTCGGCGACGTTGAGGTCGGCCATCATGCCGTTGAGCGCGCGCTCGTCGTCGATCGCAAAGCCCTCCTTGGCCGCCGGTGGCGAGCCCCTCGCGCCCTCGCGAGGGACGCTGATCGGGATCCCGATGCGCTTCTGCTGCTCGAGGACCTGGGCGGCGAGGCGCTGCTTGAGCGACGGCGGGCCGGCGCTGCTCGACGACTCGGCGGCGGCGGCGGGCGGCGTCTTGGTGACCTTGTCGAAGCCGTACCAGTGCAGGTCGGGCATGGGCTTGGTCGCGGCCGACTTGTTGAAGAGTACCGAGGACGACGCAGACGAGAACCCGGCCGTGTTGCTGACGGAGCGCAGGGGCGCCTTGAACGGCGCGTCGGGAGGAGCGAACGCGCGGCGAGCGGGTTGGGCGACAGGCGCATGGCGCAGGTCCGAGTCGTCGGCATCGACGTACTGGCTGTCGGACTCGGACTCGCTGCCGGAGCCCGACGCGTTGGAGCCCGAGTCGTCCTCGATGAATGTGTCCGAGTGCGAGTCGCCCTCGTCGCCCTCGTCCTCGTCCGAGGCGGCTGCGCTCGCGCGAGAGTGGTCCTTGCGGTTGACGTGCGACCGGCTCGGGCCGGCCACTGGCGCGTGTGCCGCCACGGCGGCGTCGTCGTCCTCGTCGTCGTCGTCCGAGTCGTGGAGGATGACGGGCTTCTTGTGCTTGCCGGCGAGGCTGGGCGCAGCAACTGGCGGCTGCGGGCGATCTTGGTCCTCGTCGCTGTCGTCCGTGTCGATGATCTTGGGCGGGCGGCGCGCCTTGGTCGACGAGGACGAGGTGGCTCGGTCGTCACCCAACCGGCCCTTGGGCTTGGCGAGCGGCGGCAGGGCGGGCTCGTCGTCCGAGCTGAAGGTCAGGTCGATGTGCGGGGACTGCCGGTGGCCGCCAGCGTGCGCCATCGTGCTCTGTGAGAAGAGCGAGAGGGTGGTGGAGGAGTGAGAGGTGGACGACGAGGGGCGGTGCAAATCCCAAGTTCGCTTCGTGGCTTCGAGCTTTCAGAGTCTCTAGTCGTCGCAGCGAGTCGTACGACGCCTTCATCAAGGCGAAACACGAGAAGCGCGCCAACTCGAGTCTCTCCAAGCCGCTCTCCGACTCTCGCTGCGAGACGAGGAGGGAGCTCTCGGCCACGACGAGTGCGAGAAACGTGTGCAGGTTTTGCTGTGTACAAGGCAGAGATACGACCATGCTCGAGGCCCGACGAGGACGAGCCTCGACCGCTCCTCGTCCCTCCCCTCCGCTCCGACCGTGCCGCGACCACGACGACGACGACGACGACGAGGTTAGGCGAAGATGGCGTAGAAGGCCGTGTGGAACTCGTTGTAGAGCGTGTCGATGACGCGGAAGAGGGCCCAGTCGCTGTCCGAGATGCCGCCCGGGCGCTGCAGGACGTGCTCCTTGTCGGCGTCGCCGCCAGCGTCGCGCCGGTCCTCCTTGGCGTCGCGCGCGTCGTCCATCTCGTCGTCGGCGACGTTGTCGCCCTTGCGGTTGTACAGGGCCTTGAACGCCGTGTGGATGCCGCCGAGCGCGCGGTCAAAGTCCTGGAGGCGGAACCAGACGTCACCGCGCTCGATCGACGACTCGCGGATGAGCGTCTCGAGGTTGCCGTGCCGGTAAAAGTCGATGACGAACGCGTCGAGGTCGTGCTCGGTCGAGTCGAACGGCGGCGACGCCAACTCGGGCACGGCGTGGTTGTACAGGACGACGCCGGCGCGCGCCGTGCGCGACAGCTCGTGCACCGACGCAAAGTCGTCGCCGTGGCCCGACAGGGCGGCGAACGCCGAGCGCGACTCGAACGCGAGCTCGCTCTGGCGCAGCTTGCTCGCGAACGCCGAGTCGGCCGCCTCGCTGCCGACCGCCTTGCGGCCCGAGAGCGGCAGGACGTCGTCGTTCCCGAGCTTGTCCGGGTTCTGCTGGGCAAACTCCTTGGCGTACGTCGAGAAGACGCCGAGGGCCGAGCGGTGGTGCGCGTCGAGGACGGCGCGGATCGGGGCCGGGAGCTGGGGCAGGACGATGAGCGACGTCGAGTTGCGCGTCTTGCGGATCGTCTCGGGCGACTGCTTGCGGCGGTGCACGCGGCCAAACAGCCACGCGAGCGTGAGGAGCATCGTCGACAGCGTCTCGTCCGGCTTCGAGTCGATGCCGGCGGCGACCTTGTGCAGCTCGCCCGAGCGCAGGAGCGCCGCCAGGGCAAAGTTGCTCGGCTCCTCCGGGTACAGGGCCGACGTGACGCCGTACAGCGTCTTGGGCGTGCCGTCCTCGTCGAGGAGGCCCGCACGACGCAGGTACTCGATGGCGAACCGCGCAAAGTGGCGCGTCTGCTCGCGGTTGCCCGTCACCGACGCGTGGCTGACGGCGAGCTGCGGCAGGTCGAGGAGCGTCTCGACCGACATCTTGGGCAGGTCGGGCGTCGTGTCCTCCTCCTCGTACTTGCGCTTCTTGCGCGTCTCGTCCTCCTCCTCGGGCCGCGAGCCGTAGATGAGGTTGTTGAGGCGGAGCATGAGGGTCGTCGTGAGAGGGAACGTGCCGCCCTGTGCGCGAGGAGAAAGAGAGAGGGCGAGAGTCAGTGTCGGCGAACAGAGACAGGGTGCGGCGGCTCGAAGCCGGGGCCGAGTGGGGAAAAGGGAAAAGAGAGTGGACGCACGAGCTTGGGGAGCTTGGACAGGAGGAGGCGCTGGATGCGGTCGAGGCGGACACCGACGAAGAGGACATTTCCGACGAGGTCGAAGCCGCGACGGCCGGCGCGGCCCGAGCACTGGCGGAAGTTGAGCGGGTTGAGCTCGAGCGAGTCGCCGGCAAAGACGGCCGTGCGCGCCGGCGCGTTGATGCCGAGCGCGAGCGTCTGGGTCGAGATGACGACGCGCAGGACGCCGCGGCGGTACAAGTTCTCGACGAGGACGCGGTACCGGCGGGGCAAGCCCGAGTGGTGGACGCCGACGCCGCGACGGAGCGCGTTGATGATCCACGGGTCCATGTCGAGGAACAGGAGGTCGTCGACGTCCTTCTTGAACTCGATGAGCGAGATGCCCTTGCCGACGAACGTGAACTCCTCGGACGGCGCCTCGGGGTCAAACGCCTGGACCTCCTCGACGACGCCCATGCGGGCCGCCTCCTCCTCCTGCTTGCGGTTGACCGTCTGCGACTCGGCCGCCTTGGCCTTCTTGGCGGCGGCCTTCTCGGCGGCGCGCGCACGCGCGAGGCGGTCCTTGAACGTCGGCGAGCTCTTGCGCCACTTGTCCTCGGCGCGCTCGAGGTCCTGCGAGATGCGCTTGGCGAGCGACTCGCAGTGGTCGCGCGAAAAGTTGAACAGGATGGCCGGCAGCTGGTTCTGGGCGTTGAGGTCGGCGAGGAGGGGCGTAAAGAGCGAGTTGAACTCGTCCTCGCTCGCGTTCTCGATGAGCTTCTCCGAGACGCCGAGCGCCTCGCGCAGGGGCTTCTCGAGGAACTCGACCGTGCGCGAGAAGCGCGACGACGGGTCGGCGTAGTCGGGCTCGTTGCGCCACTCGACGAGGATCTTCTTGAGGTGCTGCTCAAACTCGATGACGTGCTTGATGGCGATGGTCGGCGTCGGCGCAAAGAACTTGCGCGGCTTGAGCTTGGGGTCGAGCTCCTTGTCGACGGCCGACATGGCGCGCCACAGGGCGAGGCAGTCGCGCGGCTCGAGCGCGAGGTCCTCGGGCAACTCGGGGTCGCCGAGCGCGAGCGACGCGATCGGGTGCACGGGCGCAAAGATGCTCGGGTGCGACCGGTACTCGTTGAGCGGCGCGATCTCCTTGTCCGGGAACTTGGACAGGCGCGGCGCGTACGCAAACTTGCGCAGCGCGTTGAACCGGTGCGTGTGGATCACGAGGGCGTACTCGCGCCCGCACCGCTCCTCGACCGACTGGAGCCACGCCGAGAAGCGCTCGGGCGCGCCGACGGTCGCCGACAGGCCGATGATGGGCGCCGGGTTCATGAGGAGGACCTGCTCCCACATGCCCGAGCCCTCCTCGGCGATGGCGTGGATCTCGTCGACGATGACGCGGCGGATGCGCGGGGTCCACACGCGCGACAGGGCCGGGTTGAGGAGCATCTCGGAGAAGACCTGGGGGACCGTGACGAGGATCTGGCAGTTCTGCGGGTTGTTGATGCGGTAGTCGCCCGTGTGCACCGACCACAGGGCCTGGCCGGGCACGTCCTTGGAGAAGCGCGCAAAGCACTCGGCGGCGACCTGGTTGACGAGCGCCTTGGACGGCGCGACGTAGACGACGACGCCCTCGTCCGACTCGCGCAGGACGCGCTCCATGGCGGCGAACGAGATGAACGTCTTGCCCGACGAGGTCGGCGCGACGATGAGCATCGACTTGTCCTCGTCGATGTTGTCGAGGACGGTGCGCTGCCACGCGTCGGGCTCAAAGTTGACGCGCGCGTCCGGGCGCGAGTCGAGCTCGCGGGCCATGTACTCGCCCATCGTGCGCAGCTGCCACTCGAGCGGGTGCTCGTCGATCTCCATCCACTCGTACATGGCCTCGCCGGCGTCCTTGTCGATGATGGCGCAGAAGTGGAACGTCAACTTGGACCGCTCGTCCTTCTCGGCCTTGGGCGCCTTGGCCGACGACGTCGCGTCCTTCTTCTGCAGGCAGGTGGGTGGACGCGCGAGGCCGCAGAGTCAGTGTCGGTCCCTTGTCGAAAGAGAGAGAGAGGGACGAGGGGACGCACGGCGGCTTGAGCGGCTTTCGAGCCCGGCTTGGCGGCGCCCTTCTTCTTCTTGCCGTCGTCGTCGTCGGCGGCGGCCGCCTTGGCCTTCTTGTCCTTCTTGTCCTCGGCGCTCGCGAGCTTGTCGCTCCACTTGATGCCCTCGGGGAGGAGGCACTCGAGGCCGAGGACGGCGAGCGTGTTGCTGATGGCGCGGCCCTGCTTCTCGTTGATGACGACGGCGCCCGTGCCCTCGTCGAGCGCGCGCATGTACTTCTGGAGGTGCGGGCTCAGGGTGCGCGCGATAAAGACGCGGTACTGGTCGGCGACGTCGTCGGCCTCGCGGCGCTCGTCGGCGACCCACTTGCGCAACTCGAGGTCGACGCGCTTGATCAACATCTCGGTGCCGAGCCACGGGTCCTGGGCGCGCTTGTTCTTGAGGTACGACTGGACCTGCGAGATCTGGCCCGGGATCGGCATGTCCTTGAGGTCGTCGAGGCGCTCGACCCACCACTTGTAGTTCTCCTTGCCCTCCTCCTGGAGCTTCTTGGCCGCGTTCTCGGCGATGAGCTTCTCGCGGCTCGACAGGACCTTGACCTTGTCCTTCTTGCTGCCGCGGCCGCCCGTCGTCGAGCCGTCGCGCCCGACCTCGCTGCCCGTCGGCGTCGCGGCGCCGCTCGCGTCGGGCGTCGCCGCACGCGAGTTCTTGGCGCTCGCGATGGCGGCGACCTGCTGCTTGAGCGTCGGGCCCGAGCGCTTGCCGACCGACGGGATCGTCTGCGGCTTGAGCGACGCGCCGAACGCGCCCGTCAACGACGCGGCGCTCTTCTGCATCTGGGCCATGAAGCGCTGCTCCTTGCGGTCGCGCTTCTTCTTGGCGCGGTAGTCGAGGACGGGCGGCGGCGCGCCGCCAAGGTGCGTCGGCAGGGCCGGGCGCGGGTTCTCCCACCCGCGCTCGTCGCTGAACACCGACTCGGTCGCGAGCTTGTTCTGGAGCGTCGCGAGCGTCGAGTCGGGCGAGACGGCGACGTGGACCGACGACAGGTGGGCCGTGAAGATCGACTGGGTGTACGGCAGCACGGTGTCCTCGACGAGCGTCGCCGGGACGGGCGGGAGCTCGGTCGACTGGGCCGGCGCCGCCGAGCGCAGCGCGCCAAAGTCGGGCTGGGCCGCACCCGAGAGCGACGACCACAGAGAGTCGAGGCGCGCCGCGACGTCCGGGCCGAGGAAGTCGGCGAGCTGGGCCGGCGCGAGGTCGGCATTGTTGAGGACCTCGACGAGGAGGATGAAGAAGATGCGGCCGTCGAGGTCAAAGTCGGCGAGCGGGTTCTGCGCCTCGGCCTCGGGGAGTGCCTCGACGGCGGCCGTCAGGCTCGCGTACACCTTGGCGAGGAACGGCTCGAGGACGCTCGACATGAGCTCGGCCGACGCTTCGGGGATGCGCTGTGCGCGTGCGCGGAGCGGGACCGACGGGAGGAGGAGGGCGTGCGACAGGTACAGGTACAGGAGGGTCGACTCGGACGCCGAGGGGGACGACGCGAGGAAGGTCGCGGCGGCGGTGCGGAGGAGGTCGTCGGCCGAGGCGGATGCGGGTGCCGACGCGACGGCAGGCAAGGCAGGGACGGCCGAGTCGAGCGCCGACTTGGCGGCATCGACGGCGGCGACGATGTTCTCGGGGAGGCCGGCCACCGTCCCACGCACGACGTCGTAGAAGTAGGCGTTGATCTGTGGGGCCGGTCCTGGTCAGTACGACACGCACGTGACGCTCGAGAAGACAGAGTGACGGCGAGGGCGCACCTTGGTGTCGGTGAGCTCGGCGGCCTGGAGCAGGACGTACGGCAACGACTGGTGGACCGTGTCGTACAGGGCCTGCCTCTGGATGAGGATGCGCTCGGCCTGGAGCTCGCCCTCCTTGGTCTGGAGGCCGCCGTCGTGGCCGAGGACGTACATGGGCTGTGCGGGACGAGGGGCAGGGTGAGCGTTCGGCTCGACAGGACGAGGCTCGTGACACGAGAGAGAGAGACAGGGACGCACCCGCTTGCGCTGGTACCACGTCTTCCACGCGTCGTCCTCGAGCGACTGGAAGCGGTGGACCTTGGTGTCGGGCAAGTTGGCGCGGCGGATGAGGATGGACCGTGCGAGGCGACGAGCGGCCGAGACGTAGGCCGGCGCGCCCGTGTGGATGCTGGCGTGCGCCTGGCTCTCGAAGAAGACGATTTCAAACATCGTGTCCTTTTTGAGGAGGTCGTCGACCGTCTTCTCGAGGAGGTAGGTGGCGTGGAGGAGCTGGAGCGACGGGTCGCCGCTGCGGCCGAACGCGAGGAGCGGGTCGTCGAGGACAAGCTGGAGGAGGGCGTCGCCGTCGAGGATGAAGAGCTCCTGGCCCGAGTAGATGAGGACGTCCATCCACCGCGGGTACTGCGAGATGAACCATGTCCTGCGGAGAGGGAGAGGGACGAGAACCGGGTCGTCAGTAACGAGTCCTGGGCACCGCCGCTGCTGCCAAGGCCGGCGAGAGCGCGGCTGGCACTGCGTCTAGGCACCCTTTGTGCCGGCTCGAGTGGCGAGTGGTCGAGCGCTGACGACCGGGATGAGGGTGGGTGGGAGAAAGAGGGAGGGTAGGGACGCACGAGTCGAGCGTGTTGAGGGCCTGGCTGGCGCTCAGCTGCTGGTGAGTGTCGCTCTGTGCGACCTCTTGGCTGTCTGCCATGGTCGGGGCGAGGTGGAGAGGAGAGCGAGCGAGGCGAGCGCAGGTTGGCCAAGGTTGGCGGCGAGCCGACAGCTTTCGAGGTCTCTCATTCTCGCTTTCGCTCTACGGCAGTCGCGTGTGCTGTAGAACGCTGTGTGAGGCCATCAAAGTACACAAGAGGTCGTCACCCGAGCAGATTGGGGACAAGTGACCGACCCTCTCCTCCTCGCGCGCGCCGTTGAACCAGCCGCGCCTCCTCGCTCGAGCCGCCGCCCTCACATGGCCGTGATGCGCGTCATCATCCCAAACGTGTCGCCGACCCTCGCGCCCATGAGCCTGAGCACGTCGCCGACGCCCAACCCGCTCTCGCCCCTCGCGCGCCGGTGCACCACCCGCCTGCGGGCCCACGTCACGAACGCGAACGCGAACAGGACGGCCGACAGGAGCCGCACCGGGTCGGCCGCGTAGTGGGCGGCGAGGTACCGCCCGAGGGCGCGCAGCGGGCCGCGCTTGACGACGCTCGACGACGCGGGAGGACGCTGCGTGGCCGCCGAGTCGGGCGACGACCGAGGCGCGAGGTACGAGCTGAGCGAGTCGCGCAGGCCCGCAAAGCCCTGCGCGTCGCCTCCTGCGGCAGCGCCCGACGCTCCGGGTGACGACGAGTCCCGGGGGCCGTCGCCGGCTGCGGCGCGCCGCCGGCTCTTCTTGCCGTTGGGCGAGCTCCCGCTCGAGCCCGAGTCGCCCGAGTGCGTCGGCGAGCCGTCGCGTGCGGCGCGCGACTTGCCCTTGTCCGAGCTCGAGCCCGAGCCCGAGGTCGACGTCGAGCGACGCTTGGACGACGACGAGGCGGCGGCGGCGGCGGTGCGAGCGGCGTCGAGGTCCTTCTGGCGCTGGGCGCGTGCGGCGACGAGCTGCACCTGGTCGCGCTGGATCTCGGTCAGGCGAACGAGAGCGGCCTGTCCAACCATGCGAGAGCGTGTCAGTGACCGGTCTCGCGAGAAGAGGGAAAGAGAGTGAGTGAGAGAGAGAGCGCGACGCACCTCGACCCTCGCGTCCGGGACCCACCCGCCATTCTCGACGCCCTGCATGCGCACAAAGTCGCCCGCGGCGTCCCACTCGCCGAGCTGCGGCAGGACGTGCAGCACGAGGAGGTCGACGAGCTTGAGCCACGCGCCGACGAGCTGCCGGCGCGGGTCCTGCCGCGCCGCTCCTCCTCCTCCGCCGCCGAGGAAGCCACTCCCGCTCAACGACGCCGCTCCTGCCCCCGCACCCGCACCGACCGCATCGAGCGCGAGCTCGCCCGCGTCGTCCCAGTCGATCGCGCGCGCCGTCTCGTCGACGAGCGCCTCGACCTCGTCGTCGACGCTGCCGAGCCATGCCTCGGCGACTTGGCGCGCGAGGCGCGGTTCCTCGAGCTTGAGCGCGGCGAGCACGAGCGCGACGGCGAGCGACGGGTGGAGGTGCGCCGCGGTCGGGGTCGGGAGGATGTCGTCGAGGGCTGCCGAGGTGGTGGGGAGGGGGAGCGCGGCGGGTGCGCTGTCGGGGTGTGGGCGGGCAACGAGGTTACTCCAGAGCGACTTGACGAGGTCGGCGGGCGGCAAGTCGAGCAGTGGCTGGAGCGCAGGCGAGGGGGCGAGAGCTCCGGGCGAGGCCCGCACCGTCGCGAGGAACGTGACCTGGAGGACGTCGAGCCGGCGCTTGAGCGTCACAGCGAGCGGGACAGGGCTGCCGGCCTGCACCGAGTCGAACCAGGCGCGCTGCGGGACGTCGTCGACGAGGGCGAGGGCGTCATGGAGCGACGAGGCCGTCGCCGCGTAGTCGCGCACGAGGAAGGCCCGTGTCGCCGCGTTGTAGTGCTGGCGCAGCTCTGCAGTCGAGCTCGAGGCCGTGCCGTTCATGGCGTGGCGTGCAGCTGGTGGTGGTGGAGGACGAAGCGAGGGCGACTTGCCGGTCCTCGATCGCCTCGCCTCCTCGGCCGGTGCAAGAAGCCGGTCACGGTTCTCTCGCTCCCAAGCTCTCACGTACTGAAGAGGAGAACGAGTGACTTTGCAACCTGCGAGAGAGCAACTACCGAGAACGACGACGATGAGAGAGCGGAAAGACGAGCGGCCGGGGCTCACTTCTTGGCGTCAAACAGCGAGTCGCCGACGTGGGTGGCCGTGATCTGCTTACCGCCGAACCAGCGCCCGTTGAGCCCTTGGAGCGCGACGACGGCGACGGCGGGCGACGCGAAGCGGATGTAGATCTCGCCCTGGGTGCGGGAGGAGGAGGGTCAGCTACGTCGTCCGTACGCCTTATCCGGGGGCGACGACACGCGCCGCCACTCCCGAGACGAAGACGAGAGGAGAGAGAGAGAGAGAGAGACGAAGCCGGCGCACCTCCTGCGACTCCTTGACGACGTAAATGTCGACGACGGCGCCGTACTTGGCCTCGCACTCGCTCTTGACGTCCTCTGCGAGCTCGAGATCCCAGTCGCGTTCAGTCTCTTCCTCGGGGTTGAACGCGTTCTTCATCAGGCTGTGTGTGCGCGCGTGTCGGGCGAGGGGAGAGAGAGGGGTCAGGGAGGTGCGCGAGGGACAGGAGGAGCGAGAGGACGACGCACACGTTGCGCGTAATGTTCTGCGGGATGTTAGGGCGGAACCTGCGTCGAGGAGAGCGAGCGTCAGTCAGTGTCCAGGCGCGAGAGGGCGAGGAAGAGGGAAGGTGAGAGGGTGGGCGCACATCGGGGTCGGGGGCAAGTCAGGCGGGCGGTCTGCGCGCGACAGCTTCTGCATGAGCTCCATGCGCGTGTTGGCGTCGAGCTTGCCGGCTGCGGGGGGAGCGTCAGCGGTTAGTGAGGGCTCGCGATGGCGAGGCAGGGAGGGATAGAGAGGGGACGCACTGTGGCCCTCCTCGCGCTCGAGCTGCGCCTCCTGCTGCCCTGCTCCTCCTCCTCCTCCTCCGACGTGCTGGCTGAACGTGGCACTGCGGTCAGCGACGAGTCCGACCTTGATCTGCAGGGCAGGCCACCAATAGGTCAGTCGAGGTGTCTCTGAACGCAAGAGAGAGAAAGAAAGGAGGAGAGGAGGAAAGGGGAGACGCACCTCGCGACCTGCGAGCGGGAAGTTGTTCATCTTCTCGATCGCGACCATGGCGTCCTTGTGCTCCTTGAACCTGCAGGCGCGCCGAAGATCGTCAGCGATACGCTCCCTCACCCACGAAAGGCCTACCGGAAAGGGAGAGAGAGAGGAGGACGGCTCGGCGCACTTGACAAAGCAGTAACCCTTGCTCTTGCCCGTCGCCGGGTCACGGTGCAGCTCGACCGTCTCGAGCTCGCCAAAGGGCTGGAACACCTCGCGGATGTCGTCCGACGTCAGGGCAAAGTTGAGCGAGCCGACGTACAGCCTGCGCCGGGGGCATCGAGGAGCGTCAGTTGCTGGCCTCGGGGACGTGGCGCGAGGCGAGGACACGAGAGGGAGGGAGAGAGAGAGAGAGGAGAGAGGGGGACGCACCCTCCCGTCATCGGCGCACTGCCCCCACCACCACCACCGCCGCCCGCACCGCCGGGCCCGTCGCGCGCCTGGCGGTTCTTCTCGGCCTCGGTGTACTGGACCTGGATCGGGATCCCGAGGAGCTTGGTCCCCGAGAGCGTGAGCGCCTTCTGCACCGTCTCGAGCTCGACAAACTCGACGTAGCCGACTCTGCGTGCGCAAGAGTGGCACCTCAAGTCAGCTCTGCACGACAAGGTGTACGAGAGGACACAGAGAGAGAGACAAGGGACGCACCCCTTTGACCTGCGCGAGATGCGGTCGACAATGACCCTCGCGTCGCGCACCGTACCGGCGTGGTGCTCGAAGAAGATGCCGAGCTCGCGGTCCGTGACGCGCGCGGCGAGCTGCGAGACAAAGACGCTGCGCATCTCGCGCTGCTCTTCGGTCAGTCTGCACGGCGGGCAGGCGGGCGGGCGGGCGGCCAAGGGGAAGGTCAGCGAGGTGAGGTGAGGGGAGGTGAGAAGGAGGTGAGGGAGGGAGGGCGGGACGCACTGTCGCTCGGGGGTGCGGCCGCGACGAGGGGCGTCGTAGCTCGGCGAGCGACGACGACGAGGCCTGTCGGAGGAGGTGGGGATCAGCGACAAGGACTGGGAGGGGCAAGAGAGGGGAGGGGGACGGACCGGTCGTCGTAGTCGGGCCCTCCTCGGCGCGACGAACGGCGGTCGTCACGGCGGTCGCGGTCGTAGTAGTCGTCGTGCGGCCTCGACCTGCTGCGGCGGTCGCGGTCATAGTCGCGGCTCGGGCTCCTGCGGGTGCGCTTGTGAGAGCGGTCCGACTCGAGGTCGCGGTCGTCGGGCGCGGCGGCGTCGTCGTCGTACGCACGGCGGCGGCGGTCGCGGTCGCGGTCGTGGTCGTAGTCGCGGTCCGACTGGCGGCGGTCGCGGCTGCGCTCGAGGTCGCGGCGGAGCTCGTACTCGCGGTCGGCGTCGCGGCGGCGGCGGCGGGCGTCGGGGTCGTCGTCGCGGTCCCTGTTGCGCGAGTCGTGCGAGCGGTGAGAGTGGACCGAGCTGTTTCACGGGCAAGAGTGTGTCAGTCTGTGGGCTGCTCGTGTAGGTGCGGGAGGGGAACGAGGTGGACGGACGTTGCCCGGTCGGAGCGCGAGTCTGCAGTCCTCGAGCCGTGCTGCGGCAAAGGGTGGGCGGGGTCAGGTGGGCCGCTCAGGGTGTGTAGGAAGGGACGCACATCGTTCATGGTCGACAGCAGGGAGAGGTTGAAGGAGGAGGGGGAGCCGGTCTCGCCATCTCTCCACCTCGTCGTTCGCTCCCCGCTCGCTCCTCACCCTCAAGCCGTGCGCTGTTCGAGGTGCACTGTGCTCCAAGCCATGTGCAGGTGCGCCCCTCCCCCTCCCGGTCCAACCAACCCTCTAGGCACCACACCTGACCCTCGTCTCCCTTCGACGACAGGCTCCTCGTCGTCAAGGCCGAAGAGCCGATCCAGCTCGCCCAGCTCCTCACCAAGCCCGCGCACAGCATCATCAACCAAGCCTCGGACTCGCGCCTGCGCCTCGACGCCGGGTGCGGCCTCTCGCTTTCCTCCGAGTCTCCCCACTCGGGAAACCCGCTCACCGCCCACCGTGCAGGTCCATCAACGCAGACGGCTTTGGCGTCGGCTGGTACCCGACCGACACCGACCCCGGCAGCCCCGGCCCTTGCGTCTTCCGTACGCTCCACCCCCTTCCTCCTCCGCCTCGTCGCCCGCACACGACCTGACCTGCCTCGCTTTCCCCTCCCAACAGGATCCATCACGCCCGCGTGGAGCAACCTCAACCTGCATCGACTCGCCGACAAGATCAAGAGCGGCCTCGTGTTTGCCCACGTGCGCGCGTCGACGACGGGCGCCCTCAGCGAGGAGAACACGCGAGTCGACCCCCTTTGCCTCTGTCGTCGCACCTCGGGAGGCGTACTGACGCTTGCGCACTGCGACACAGGCATCCCTGGACCTACGGCAACCTCGTCTGGATGCACAAGTGCGTCCACCTCCTCCCCTCTCGCCCCTTCCCTCCTCCTCCTTGCCGCGCACTGACCCCTCTCGCCCGCGCGCAGCGGCTGCATCTCGGACTTTCACCGCCTCAAGCGTCGCCTGCAGAACGACCTCTCGGACGAGTTCTTTGCCGTCCCGCAGGGCAACACGGACAGCGAGTGGGCGTTTGCGTGCTTCCTCGAGCAGCTGTCCAAGGTCCGTCCTCGCCTCTCCCTCTCTCCCCCCTCGGACTTGCGCACGCCCGACACGTGACGGGACACTGACTCGCCCCCCTCGCGCGCCGGTATCCGCCCACAGCTCGTCGACCCCAAGACGGCGACGATCCCGCACGCGACGCTGCGCCAGGCCATGCTCGACACGGTGCAGCTCCTCACGCGCTACACCAAAGACGTTGGCGCCGACCCGTCCCTCATGAAGTGCGTCCCTCCCTCTCTGTGTCTCTCCCTCTCCTCGTTCGCGCCCCGCACTGACTGATGCTCGCTCCCGGCGCCCGCAGCTTCTGCGTCTCGGACGGCACGTCGGTCGTCGCGACGCGGTACATCACGAGCGCGACCGAGGAGGCCGCGAGCCTGTTCTTCTCGACCGGGTCGACCTTCGAGGAGTACGAGCCCGGCGCGTTCAAGATGCACAAGGCCGACAAGCGCGAGAGGATCGTGCTCATTGCGTGCGTCGCGCGTCGTCCTTCTCTTTCAGGTCTCTTTTGCCCATCGAGGGCGACGGGAGCTGATACAGGCAGGTTGCGCATCGACACACAGGAGCGAGCCGTTGACGTTTGAGCGCGCCGACTGGGTCGAGATCCCGAGCCAGAGCTGCATCGTCATCACGCCTCGAGTGCGTCCCCCTCTCTCCCTCCTCCCTCTCTCTCTCTGTCACCCAAGCGCTCACCCGCACCTCGCCGTCGCAGAACAACCTCCTGCGGTACCCGATCGTCAACGAGTACTTCCAGCCGACGGCGACGTCGCACCGCGCCGACGGGTACGCGCGCGCAAAGGGCTTCAGGTGGGCCAAGCCGGTCAGCGCTGTCGCTGGGGCGGTCGAGGCGCATTGAGGGTGGGTGTGTTACGGGAGCGGCTGTAGAGGCGTGTTGTCGTATCACTAGTCGTGACGGTTCTGTGCGGCGAGGTCCGTGGCGAGAGGTGCTGCACGTCGTCGTCGTCGTCGTTCGCTGCCTGCTTTGGACTGGCACACTCGCAACCTCGTTGGCTCCCTCTCGAGAGCATGCTCGAGCCGACTCGAGGCGAGAGCGATGGTCGCGTGAGGTCGGCTCGTCCAGCTCCGCCGCCAGCAGCTTCCTTGCGCGACCTCGCTCACAGCAGCCTCTCGTTAAGCGCGATGCCGAGCTCCCTGCGCTGCTGTGCCTGCAGCCGACACCTGCACGCACCACGAGCAGCTCCCACGCCCTCGCCAGCTCGCCTCGCCCCCTCATCGCCGCCGAGATCCTCAAGGTCGGCCGTCATCGCAGGCCGGCCTCCCGCTCCAGGCCGCCGAGCAGCAGCGCACCCGCACCACGCACCTCCACACCGCCCGCTGTCGACCTGTGCGCGGCCTGCGACGCTCTCGCCGCCGCGACTCGGGTTCCCTCCCCCCACCTCGTCCACCTCGTCGTCCTCGCCGCTCCGGCCCTTCTCGTCAACGGCAGCAGCCCGCGCAGCCGTCGTTGACGGCAACCCGTTCCCGTTCCCGAGGTCCAAAGACGCGTCGCCGTTCGACATCTTTCACTTTCGCCGCGACCAGGCCCTGACGGCCAAGGAGGTCAAGTCGGTGCGTCCCCCCCTTGCTCTCTCTCTTTCTCTTAAGAAGCACAAGCTGACACTCGAGTCCTCGCCCTGCAGCGCTACCTCCAGCTCGTCAAGATCTACCACCCGGACCGCCGCGCCGCCGCCGCCTCGTCGTCGTCGTCGTCGAGCAAGAAGGGCAAGCACAAGGCGGCGCCCGACGCCGACCACGAGTTCAAGGCCATCGTCGCCGCGTACGAGCTCCTGTCGTCGCCCTCGCGTCGCGAGACGTACCTGCGCACGGGCCTCGGCTGGGGCGCGACGGCGTCGTACCGCGGCGGCGGCGGCGGCGGCGGGTTCGGCGGCTCGAGCGGTCGCCCGTCGTCACCGTGGAGCCAGAGCACGGCCGAGTACCACTTTCGGCGCGGGAGGCCCATGTCGCACGGGCGGTGGGCGGGCCAGTACGACCACTGGTCGTGGAGCCAGACGTGGTCGGACCCGCACAGCCCGCACTTTCGGCCCGAGGACGAGGCGGCGCGCCGCAGTGGCGGCATGAGCTCTGGCGGCGGCGACGGCGCGACGGCGCCCGGGTGGGAGGGCCAAGGGCTGTTTGCGCGCAACGGCGTCGTCTTTCTCGTGCTCGCCGCCTTGACGCTCACCGTCACGCCCCTCACGGCGTGGAGCGTCGTGCCGAGCGCGCCAAAGGGCGTCGACCCGTTCGCGCCCGGTAGCGACGGCGTGCGCATGAGCGAGCTTGCGGCGCAGGGAGCGCTCGAGGGCGGGTCGGCGTGGATGCCGCGCGTGTACGACAAGCGGCGTGCGTCCCCTCTCTCTCTCTCTCTCTCTTTCTCTGTCTCGAGAGGGTACTGACTCTCTCGCACCCTCGTTCCGCAGACCAAGACGCCGCCGCCAACCTGCAGCGAGCCCGGCTCGAGGCGCGCGAGCGCGGCCACGAGAAGCGCGACGCCATCAAGCGCCGGGTCCAGGAGCTTCGGCGCGTGCAGGCGTTTGACCGCGCGAGGGACGTGCAGCAGGTCGAGCAGGGCAAGAGCGGGACGGGCCACTTGGCGTTGCCGGCGCCGGCGCCGGCGGCGGGAACAGGGGCGACGACGGGCGAGTAGAGTGCGCCGAGTATAGACGCGAGGCTGGCAACGAGACGAGGATACAGATGCTCATGGAGTACGAGAGAGGTATGACGAAAGGGGTATCCACGAGAAGAGCCGAATTAGGCCGCTGGCGAAGCTGTCGCCGCCAGTCCCCTCCTCCCGATCCTCGCCTCGTGCTCCTTCTCCATCCTCTCAATCCCCTCCTCCGTCTCCCTCAGCGTCCCCTCGAGCCTCCTCCTCCTCTCCTCGACGCCCCCCTTTCCCGCCTCGCCCGGCTCAACCCCCATCGCCCCCCTGACCGCGATCCTCGCCGCCGCGTTCGCGCACTCGCCGAGCGGTCCCTCGCGCCCCACCAACCCGGGCACGACGGCCCTCGCGCCCCCGGGCCTCACCTCGCCCGTCGATCGACTGACGCCCACCGTCCCGAGCACGTCGAGGACGTCCCTCTTGCGCGGCGCGCCCGACACGACGTCGCGCGCCGTCCACGCCGAGTCGAACACGGGCTGCACGAGGTCGTGGGCGGTCGCGAGGCGGTGCAGCGCGAGCTGACGCGGCGAGACGAGGTCGAGGACGTCGGTGAAGAGGGTGTCGTCGTACGCGAGCGCGGGAGGAGGAGCGGAAGGAGGAGGAGGGGCGTGCGGCGCGTGCGCACCACCGAGGCGCGACGACGCCGGCGTGGGCGGCATCGTCGGGCGGCGCTGCGGATGCTGGACCTGCGCTTGCGCCTGCGCGTGGGCGTGAGCGCGCTGCTGCGCGACGAGGTACGCCTGCTGCTGCTGCGCCTGGAGCTGGCTCGCCTGCTGCGCGCTCATGCCCATGCCCATGCCCGGCGGCGGCGGCCCGCCCGCATACCCTCCTGCGGCGCCGGGCGCGAGGACAGAAGGCGGCTGCCCTCGCCCTGCTGCTGCTGCTGCTGCCGCCGCCGCCTGCTGCTGCTGCTGCTGCTGGTACTGCGCCTGCCGCGCCTCGAGCGCGGCATTCGCCGCGCCTCCCCCTCCTGCGCCCGCGCCCAAGCTCATGCCGCCCGCCGCGCCCTGCGCCTGGTGGGCGTTGGCGACGAGCTGCGCGAGCTGCTGCTGGCGCGCGAACGGCGTCGCGGCCGACGCGGCGGCGAGCGCCGCCTGCTGCTGGGGCGTGCCGGCTCCCTGCTGCGGGTGCTGCAGCTGGGCAAAGGGCGCTCGGGTTTGGGCCTGGGGCGTGCCCGGCGGTAGCGGGCCGGCGGCGCCTGGAGGAAGAGGAGGAGGTTGTGCGGGTGCGGGTGCGGGTGCGGGTGCGGCAGAGGGCGCGCCGCCGGGCGGCATGCGGTTGGGCGACGGGAATGGGAACAAGGGCTGTGTCGGGGCGTTGGGCGGGCGCACGAGCGGGTACTGGCGGACCGGCGCGGCGGCCCAGCCGGGCGGGGCCTGGGGTGCGGCGCCCTGGCCCATGCCGCCCGACTCGTCGCGGCCCCACCAGAAGAACCAGAGGGACGGGTTGAGGCCATTTGTGATGCGCCAGCGTTTGCGGAACCGGGTTAGGCGCAGCTCGGGGGACGAGGGCGCGAGGGGTTGGTCGGGCGCGCGGGGCGGGAGGTGGCCGCACGCCGAGGTGAGGCACTCGAGCTCGACCTGGATCGACTGGTGCTGGGTCGGGTTGGCGAGCGAGGTCGGGCACGACACGGCGTGGCGGGTGAGGGTGCGGCGCTCGTTGGGCTCGGCGACGAGGTAGCGCAGGCCGTCGGGCGGGACCGAGGTCGGGCGTTGCTGCGACGGGTGGAGGAGGGCGAGGAAGGCCGTGCCGGCTGCACGTGTACAGTGTGTGTGTGAGTGTCAGTCCGCATGTCGCTCTCTCCCCGAGAGCGAGGGCGCACCTTCAGGACGGTCGACGAGTTGGAGGCGGAAGGCGACCTCGCCCGTGCTCCACGCCGACCACGGGGCTTTGGCGAGGACGTCTGCGACGGCCTGGTCGATGGGAGCTTGAGCAAAGGGCCCGATCGGGTACTCGGCGCGGAGCCACAGGTCCTGCATCGTCGTCGTCTTCGTCGTCGAGAGGTGGGGGGAGGTGATGAGAGTTCGAGAGGAGGGACGCGAGTGGGAGCGCGGGAGGTGGTGCAGGTGTGCTTGATGAGGCACTGTGAGCACGCTCGAGTGGTCGGCGAGCGGCTCAGAGCCGAGTGAGCGTAGTTGTCCAAGATTGACCTCGAGCGTCCTCGTCCTCCTCCTCCTTCGTCGCCTCTCTCGCTCTCCTCGTCGCTGCTCTTCTCCCGGTCTCGATTTCGCTCATGGACCGTCACCCTCAAGCACCCGTCAAGCAGCACCTCATCGTCCTCGCCGGCGTCGTCGGCTCGGGCAAATCCACCCTCTCGTCCGCCTGGGAACGTCTTGTCCCCGTGCGTCCCTCCCTCTCCCTCCCCGGTCGTCCAAGCCAAACGCACTCAGACCTGACCTGACCTCGAAACTCACACAGGGCTGGGTCCGCGTCAACCAGGACGACTTGGGCGACCGCCGCGCGTGCGAGCATGCCGTGCGCGCCGCCCTCCGCAACGGCCTCTCGGTCCTCGTCGACCGCCAGAACTTTGACGCTCAGCAGCGCCGTACCTGGCTCGAGATCGCGACCGAGTTTCCCGCCGTCGAGGTCGGCGGCATGGTCATGGGCACGAACAAGGAGGTGCGTCGCACGACCCTTCTCTCTCTCTTGCGCACTCTCTTCGTCACACGACACGGGCGACACTGACCCTTCCCGATGTCCAACAGGAGTGCCGCCAGCGTCTCCTCGTACGGCAAGACCACCCGACGATCGACAACCCGCGTCTCGCCGTCGACCTGCTCGACAAGTTCTCGGGCCTGTGGGAAGAGCCCCGTCTCGACGAGGTGCGCCTGCTCCTCTCCCTCCTCCTCTCTCGTCGTCAACGATCCACTCACTCAAGCGCTCCCACACAGGGCTACGACCACCTCCTGACCCTCCCCTCTCTCCCTCCCGCGTCATCCATCACCCCCGCCCTCATCCTCTCCCTCCTCGCCTCCCTCGCCGCAACGCCCCGCAACCCCAACGCGGCCGCACAGCGCCAGCCTCGCCCTCGAGCGGCGCCTGGTCCGCCCGGCACGTACTCGCGAGGAGGAGGAGAACGAGGCGCGTTCGTCGACGACGGGACGTGGCGCGCGCCGAGGGCGAGGACGGCGCCGGGACCGCCGCACCAGTACCCGCAGCCGCATCACCAGTACCCGCAGCAGTACCAGCAGCAGCCGTACTACCCGCAGCAGCAGCACCGGCACCAGCCGCACGAGCCCGCGCCGCACCTGCGCGCCGCCTTCCCGCCCAGCGCAGGGCACGGCGGCGCGTGGTCCGTCCCTCCACACGCACACGCGCACGCGCACGCGCAGCAGCAGGCGCAAGGACCCAGCTGGGGCGCCCCGCTCGTGCCGTCGGAGCTCGAGCTCGAGCAGCGCCGCAGGGCGGCGGGCGCGGCGGCGCAGGCGAGGGCGGATGCTGCGGCGGGAGCGCGGCGGGGGCAGCTGCGAGACGGTGAGGGGACGGGCGTGGGTGGGGCCGGGTGGGCGCCGCCGCCGCCGATGGTGGAGCAGCCGCGAGCGGGCGGCGCTGCAGGGTTCGAGGCGAGGTAGCGCGCTCGATGTGCATGAACGAGTTTCCTCGGCCTGCTTCTCTCGCTCGCTCGAGAGGGCAAGGTGATAAAAGGGGCAAACTCGCAGCGATACAGCGGAGCCTACTCGACGCTGCTCGTCCTCTCGAGCGGCGCGCTCGCGCCCCACGCTCCGTCCTCCTCCTCCTCCTCTCCCTCGAGCACCCCACTCCCTCCCTCCTCCCTGGCACCTCTTCCCCCCTCGCCCTCGCGCTCAACCCGCCCCGCGCTCCCCCTCCCCCTCCTCCACCACTCGCACTCGCCCTCGAGCTTGCTCCTCTCCCTCTCCGTCTCGGCGAGTCGCCTTTGGAGCTCGACGATGCGGCCGTGCACGCGCGCGGCGAGTGCGTCGAGCGAGGCGTGCGTCGAGGCGAGCTGGGCTTGGAGCGAGGTCGACTCGGCCTCGGAGCGCGAGAGGAGCGAGAGGAGGCTGGTGTGGTGGGGGGCCGGGGCGTGAGGGCGTGAGGGCGGGCGGGCGGATGGCGGGGCGAGCGAGAGGAGGAGGAGAAAGGCGAGAGGGAGGAGGTGGGTCAGGTGACAGGGCCCGAGAGAGGAGGAGGAGAAGGAGGAGACGAAGGCAGGACGCACCGGCTTCGCTCGCGCTCGAGGTGCTCGACCCGTCCCTCGAGCTGCGCCTCCATCTCGACCTTCTCGTCGAGCTCGACGTCCTTCTGCGCACACCACGCCAACCCTGTATCAGCTCAGTCTCAGGAGGAGAAGGGACGGTGCCGAATGAGGCTCGAGGACGGCGAGCGCACCTCGTGCACGAGCCGCTCGAGCGTACCGCGCTCCACCTCGGCCTGGCGCAGCGCCGCCTCGAGCGCGTCGCGCTCAGCTTCGAGGCGATCGAGCTCGGCTTGTTGCCGAGCGGTGTCGAGGGCAGGCGCGGGCGGCGAGCTGCGCGGGGTGGCGGCGAGAGGTTAGTCGGGCTGCCGAGCGGGAAGGGGGCCGGCTACGGCGAGACAGAGAGAGGGAGAGAGAGAGAGAGACGTACCGCGGGTCGTGTGGAGCGTCGTCGAGCTGCGAGCCGTTGACGGGGAGCACGCTCGACGCTGCGTGCGGCTCGTTCTCGTGCGGATTGTCGAGGCGGGCGATCTGCTCCCGGTGGGCAAGGAGGGGATCGAGAGTGTCAGTGTGGGTCGCTCGCACACTACCTCCTAGGCTCAACCCTCGTGAAGGGCACGAGGTAGCAGAGCCGGCAAGGGAGCGAGACGACGCACCTCGTTCTCGAGCCGGCGCACCTCGTCCTCGAGCTCGAGCGTCGCCTTGACCTCCTCGGGCATCTCGCCCTCGCGCTCGCCTCCTTCCTTCTGCGCTCCCGTCACCTCGCCGAGCGCCGCCTGGCGCCCGAGGAACGCGTGCGCGCGCGAGTGCGCGGCGGCGGTGCGCATGTCGGGGAGGTCGAGGACGGAGGGTGGGCGGGCGCGGGCGGTCGAGGGTGCCGCAGCGACGGGCGAGGACGGCGGCAGGAGAGAGAGAGGGGTTACGGCGGTCGGGGCGAGGGCGAGCGCGTGCAGGGGGAGGAGGGCGTCGAGCGAGGCGTACAGGCGCGCGAGCTCGGATTGGCGGACGTGCAGGTCGGCGGACAGGCGGGCGACCTGCGTAGGGCAAGCGTGTGAGCTCGGATGAGGTAGTGAAGCCCGAGAGTGCGGGCGTACCTCGTCGTTGTGCGCTTCTCGGACCCGCTCGACCTCGGCGCGCGAGTGCTGCAGGTCGTGCGCGAGATGGGCGACGAGGGCCCGGCTCTTGGTGCGCGTTCGACGCCGCGATGCTGCAGGAGCGATTTGTGGCGTGGTTCGACGGGTAGAGCCGTCGCGAGAACGCGACGAGGACGAGGTTGACGAGTGCGAGAGACGGCGCAGCCGAGGTGGACGAGGAGCTGCGCGAGTATCAGGTCAGGCGGTGTCTCACGCGCGCACACACTGCGAGAGCGAGACGCACCGGACACCTTGAGCACCGTGAGCGACGTCTCGCGCCGCCGCTCTGCCCCGTTAAGCTCCCTCGCCCCTCCCGCGCGGACCCCGACCTGCGCCTCGAGCGCCCGCTGCACCTCGTCGCGCAGCCTGCGTTCCTCGCGCCACCGGCCCTCCCACACGAGACACAGGGCCTGCATCGCCGACGACTGCTCGGCGTGCTGAGCGAGGGCGGCGGCGTGCGCGAGCTGGAGCGACGCGAGGGACGACTCGGAGGCGGTGAGGCGCGAGGTGAGGGCGTCGAGGTGGGTCGTGAGGTGCGAGAGGGAGGTTCTCAGGGCGTAGATCTGTGTGCGTGGGAGTGCGCTGTGAATATGTGGTTGCCAACTACGACTCGCTAGCGACCCGGCCTCGACGACGCTGAGAGGGGTCGTGCGGCTGTGTCGCAAGCGCTGTGTCGCGCAGCACCCAGATACTCGAGTGGACAGTCCAACGCACCTTGCGAGCGGCATCTCCCTCCACCTCGAGGTCTTTGCGGTCTCGTGGAGCTTCATCAGCAGCGCGACGAGGTGGGTGGGGAGGACGAGGTAAGGGCCGTGGCTGAGGTCGGTGTGGCGGCTCGTGGTGGAGGCTGAGGTGCTCTTGAGGGAGCCAGGCTGCCAGCAGTGGCTCCTGCGAGTGTCGGAGCATGACACGGTGAGGGGCAACCTCCTGCTCGAGGTGTTGGCCCCTCTCTCGCTCTCGTCCCACTCGCTCTCGCCACGATGCAGCTCCGCATGCCCAAGCCCAAAGGCGAGCCAAAGCGCACCAAGCGCCCACCGATCGTCTCGACCGCAGACGCGCCCCCGTGCGGCATGTGCGTCCCCCACCTCTCTCTCTCTCGTTGTCGTGAGCTGACTCGTCTCGAGCGCCGACACAGCTGCGAGAAGCAGATCAGCCGCTACACCTGCCCCAACTGCAACCTCGCCTACTGCTCCCTCGCCTGCTTCCGCGACCCGCAGCACCAGGCGTGCGTCGACCACTTTCAGCGCGCGACCCTCGCCCAGGACCTCGAGGGCGACCCGCACCATGCGCAGCCGTCCAGCTCCGACAAGAACCGCATGCTCGACATGCTCAAGAAGTTCGAGGACCAGCAGCGCGAGCTCGACGAGCTCGAGCGGCAGGACTCGCTCGACCACGACCACGACGACGACGCGGCGGACCAGAGCCCCGAGGCCGTCGCGCGTCGCAAGGAGCGCCAAGAGCTCGAGAAGCGCCTCGAGGGCTTCGACCTCGGTGCGCCCCGCTCTCGCACACGCCGAGCCGGCCGAGGATTGCGCTCACTCTCCCTGCCCTCGCCCGCAGACGCCGTCCCGCCCGATCAGCTCCTGTCGTTCCTGTCGCCGTCGCAGCAAACCGCTTTCTCGGCGACGCTCCTCGACCCGGCGCGCCTGACCAAGCTCGTCGAGGACCAGTTCGAGGGCGACGAGCCGTGGTGGGTCGAGGAGGACGAGCTGCGCGTGCTCAAGGACATGCGCGACACGAGTCGGCGTGCGGCGAGAGAGGCCGGCGGGACGGTCGATGGGGAGGGTGAGGGCGAGGGAGCAAGTGGCGGATCGGGCGACGAGGACGAGGACGAGGAGGACCCGATGCTGCGGCCGCCTGTGCTGCACCCAGAACAGCTCCCGCCGCTCAAGGTCGGGCCTGACGGCCGACCACTCGTCAGCCCCAAGCTGCTGCACAACATCGCCGCCGTCCTGTACGTCGCCCCTTTCCCTCCAGCGTCGCCGGGATCCGGACCTGACCGACCTTCCTCTCCCTCCCGCACCTCGCGCGCAGGTTCGCGTACGCCTTCACTCTGCGCACCTTTTCGCTGTCGTCGTTCGCGTCACTCCCTGTCGAGTCGTCCGAGCGCACGACGGCGATCCAGGTCCTCGCGAGCCTCGTGCCGTTCCTCGTCGAGCGGTCGACGGCCGCGTTCGACGACCTCGAGACGGCCGTCGAGGCGGTCGTGCAGCAGGAGGAGCAGGTCCGTCCTTGCTCTCTCTCCTCTCCTGCTCTTCCTCTCGCGTTCCTCGGCCGCAGGCGCGAACGAGAGCTGACACGGTTTCGTCCACCACGCGCGCAGGGCATGCCGTCCCCGCTCGTCGCCCTCCTCCTGCAGGACGTCTCTGCGCTCCTGCGCCCCAATCCCGTCGCCCTCATCTCGCCATCGTCCTCCCCGCTCGCCTCGCACGCCCTCTCGGCCGCGCTCCACGCCCTCTCGGACGTGCACCACCTCTTTGCCGTCGCCCTCTCGACCTCAACCCGCCGCGCGCCGGCCCCGCAGCACGCGACGCACCAGACGGGCGGCGCCGGACCGACCATCACCAAGCCGCTCATCTCGCGCCCGTCGACGGCGGCTGCGCTGTCCAAGCCCGCGCGGGCCCAGTGCGCGCTCGGAGGGGCCAAGGCGCTCTTTTACGCGGCGTTGCTCGGCGCGCCGCAGGGGGCCGGCGCGGGCGTCGTCGAGGCGTGTGGGGCGCTGAGCGGTGAGGCGCGGGAACTCGCGGGGAGGAGGGAGAGGGAGGAGAGGGAGAGGGAGGGCAGGGTCGAGCGGGCGAGGGAGGAGCGCGAGCGCAGGGCGGCAGGAGAGGAGGAGGACAAGGTCGGCGCGCCGGGCAAGAAGGTCGCGTTCCAGGAGGACGCTCGAGGAGGACGACGAGTCGGCAAGGACGAGGGCCCGCGGATCGTCGAGCTGTAGCTGCACAGTCAAGCGCTCGAGCCGCCGGTCGCCTCACTCGGACGAGAGATTGGGAGCGGCGAGAGGTGTGCGAACGAGCCGGTACCAGCTGGGTGGGCCTCCAGGGAGAAAAGGGGAAAGCTGGAGCAGGAGCGAGGGCGGCCAAAACTCCGGCGTCGAGCCGAAGTTGGTCGCCCCGCCTCGGAGCCTTTTCTCTCCCTCGCTGCACACGCACACGGCTAGATGCTCCGCTCCTGCCTCTCGCCATCCATCCGCTCGACCGCTCGCCGCACCGCACCGACCCTCGCCGCCGCCGCCGCCGCCGCCGCTCCTCGTGCTCGCGCGTCCCTCCACCTCAACGTCACCTGCCGCCCCGCGTCGCCTCGTCTCTCCTCGACCTCGCCCGCAACCAGGATGGCTTCCACTCGCGCTGCACCTCCTATCAAGGTGAGCAGCCGCTCCTTCCCCGACCTTCCCTGGTCTCGCACTCGCTCACCCGCAGTCCTCCTCTCGCGCGCAGCTCAACAACCCCTCGCTCTGGGTCACCGAGGGCGGCTTCATCAACGGCAAGTTCACAAAGGGCACGGGCACCGGCACCTTTGATGTCATCAGTGCGTGTCTCCCATCTCTCTCACCGTGCGCGCGCAAGCCCTGACGACCGTCCCCCGTGAACAGACCCGGGCAACGGCAAGGTCCTCGGCTCGCTGCCAGAGATGACGGTCGCCGACACCAAGGAGGCGATCCAGCACGCCGCGACGGCCCTCAAGAGCTGGCGCAAGACGAGCGAGTACGAGCGCGCCGCCATCCTCCAGAAGATCTTCCAGTGCGTCGCCCTCTCTCCTCGTCTCTGTCTCTCTCTCTCTCGCTCTGACTCGCTGGCTCTCCTTGTGCGCGTACAGGTTGCAGATGGACAACGCCGAGGACCTCGCGCAGGTGTGCCCCTCTCTTTCCCATCGCCTGACGAGGAACCGCCCGAGGACTGATCCGGCGCGTGCCCGAGCAGATCATCACGGCGGAGAACGGCAAGCCTCTGGCCGACGCTCGCGGCGAGATCTCCTACGGCGGTGCGCACCCCCTCTCTCTCCCTCTTTGCGCGGGCGCGAGCGCGTGACTGACTCGTTGCACGCTCGGGCAACAGGCAGCTACTTCTCGTTCGTCGTTGCGCACCTTGTCCTCCATTTATGACTCGACTGACTCTCAGCCTTCTCGCGCATGCAGGTGGTACGCCGGCGAGGTCGTCCGCAACTATGGCGACGTCATCCCGTCGCTCGTCAAGGGCGTCCAGAACACGACCCTCAAGCAGCCGATCGGTGTCTGCGCCATCAGTGCGTCCTCCCCTGTTCTGCGTCACTCAGAAGCCTCGTCCTGACGTTCTCCTCCACGCAGTCACCCCGTGGAACGTGCGCCGACTCTTTTCTCTCCAGCGCCGAGGAGGACGGGTCCGAGCGCCGTTCACTGACCTCGTCTCGCACCCGCCGCAGTTCCCCAACGCCATGGTGACGCGCAAGCTCGCGGCCGCGCTCGCTGCGGGCAACACGGTCGTGCTCAAGGCGCCCTCGGAGACGCCCTACTCGGCGCTCGCGCTCGCCGAGATCCTGCGCCAGGCCGGCGTCCCCGAAGGCGTCTTCAACGTCGTCCTCACCGAGAATGACACGCCCGCGATCGGCAAAGAGCTGTGCGAGAACCCGACGATCCACAAGCTGTCGTTCACGGGCTCGACCCGGGTCGGCAAGATCCTCATGAGCCAGGCGAGCGGCACGCTCAAAAAGCTCTCGTTCGAGCTCGGCGGCAACGCGCCGTTCATCGTCTTTGACGACGCCGACCTCGACAAGGCTGTCGCGGGCGCCGTCGCGTGCAAGTTCCGCTCGTCGGGCCAGACGTGCGTGTGCGGCAATCGCCTCCTCGTCCAGGACGGCATCTACGACCAGTTTGCCAAAAAGCTCGTCGAGGCCGTCAAGGCGTTCAAAGTCGGCCAGGGCGCCCACGACGGCATCACGCACGGGCCCTTGATCCATCAGGCGGCCGTCAACAAGGTCCAGGACCACGTCGACGACGCCGTCGCAAAGGGCGCCAAGGTCCTCGTCGGCGGCAAAAAGATGTCGGTCGACGGCTACTTTTACGAGCCGACCGTGCTCGGTGACGTGCAGGAGTGCGCCATCGACCAGGAGGAGACGTTTGGCCCGCTCGCGCCGCTGTACAGGTTCAAGACGGAGGAGGAGGCGATCGAGAGGGCCAACGACACCGAGGTTGGCCTTGCTGGGTGCGTCCCTCTCCCTCTGTCTCTCTCGTATCAGCCCCGCAGCTCACTGATCGCCTCTCGCGCTCGTGCAGGTACTTCTTCACCGAGAACATCGCGCGCGTGCACCGTGTCTCGGCGGCGCTCGAGGTCGGCATGGTGCGTCCCGCTCTCTCTCTCTCTCTCTCTCTCTCTCTCTCTCTCTCTCTCTCTCCCTCTCTCTCTCTCTCTCTCTCTCTCTCTCTCTCTCTCTTGACTCTCGTCGTCGCTCGACGACCGTCCTGACTCGCACTCCCTTGCCGCCCTACCAGGTCGGCGTCAACACGGGCCTGATCTCGCAGGCCGGCGTGCCGTTCGGCGGCGTCAAGGAGTCCGGGTTCGGCCGCGAGGGTGCGTCGCCGCCCACTTTGCTCGTCGACCCTCTTTTTCCTGCCGACCGTCACTGACACTTCTCCTCTCTCGCCGACGACAGGCTCCAAGTACGGCCTCCAGGACTGGCAGCAGATCAAGCTCGTCGCGCTCGGCGGCCTCTAGAGCTGAGTGGGCGTGGGCGGGCGAGTAGACAGGGGGCGCGGTCGGGACCAGCAGTACTTTTTCCCCTCTCGTCGCAAGGGCCATGTTGTACACCGCTCGAAGCACAGACCAACAGAGAGGCTCGTATCTACAGAGAGAAGAATCACTAGCTACAAGTCAAAGTCCCGGCTCCCCGTCTCGCTCCATCTACTCGCGCTCGCACCCCCTCTCTCTAGCTCTAGGTGGCCCGCCTCCTCGCCGCCGCTGCCCGGACAATGTCGTCGCGCGAGATGGCCGACTGGTCGCACAGCGAGCGGAAGATGCCGCCCTCGTCGTACAGGTCTTGCGGCCTCGCGAACGCGTCGATCTCGCCGGCATCCATGACGACGATCCGGTCCGACCTGCGGGGCGAAGAGAGTTGGCGCTCGAACACGATTGACAGAGAGAGAGAGAGAGAGAGAGAGAGGCGAGACGCACCCGATGATGGTCTGGATGCGGTGCGCTATGACGATGAGCGTCTTGTCGCCGAACTCGTCAGCGACCGTCTTCTGGATGCGTGAGTCCGTCTCGAGGTCGACGCTTGCCGTGGCCTCGTCGAGGCAGATGATGTTGGCGTCCTTCACGAGCGCGCGAGCAAGTGAGACGAGGCTGCGCTCGCCGACCGACCTGTGTCGAACGGTGAGAAAGGGTCAGTGCGCTGCGGAGACGAGCGGCGAGAACGAGGAGCCGGAAGAGAGAGGAAGAGAGAAAGAGAAAGGGAGAGAGAGAGAAAAAGAGAGAGGACGCACATGTTGCCGCCGTCCTCCTCAACCTTCGAGTCGAGCGTGAAGCGCGACGTCTGACCCGACCCGTCTGATGCTGCGACTCGCTCGACGAGCCATGCGCGGCGGAGCGCGTCATACAGGCGCGCGTCGTCGTACAGGCCGAACGGGTCGAGGTTCGAGCTGCAGAAGCGAGATGTCAGGGCACCTGACGACAACAACGAGAGGGCACTAGGAGGGGCGCACCGTAAAGTGCCGGCAAAGAGGACAGGCTCTTGAGGAATGATCGAGAGGCGCTCGCGCAGCTGCTCGAGCCCAATCTTGGCGATATCGCGCCCGTCGATCTCGATGGTGCCGTGCGACAGCTCGAGGATGCGGAACAGGGCCTGCGTAATGGTCGACTTGCCTGCGGGGAGCGAGAGAAGTGAGCTCTTTGCGGCTCAGGAGGACGAGGACTAAGAGAAAAGGGAGAGGGACGCACCGGCGCCGGTCCTCCCAACGATGCCAACCTTCTCGCCGGGGCGGATGTCGAGCGAGAAGTTGCGCACAACCGTCGGCAGCTCGGGCCTGTAGCGGATCTCGACGTCCTTGAACGTGATGGCGCCCTGCTCGGGCCAGGTCGGCGGCGGCGCCGTCTCGGCGATGCGCGCCGGCGCTTCTTGCGGCAGCTGCGTGGCGTACCACTCGAAGCGCTCGATCGAGCTCATGTTGTTCTCGACCTCGGCGGCTTGGCGGACGAGCATCTGGGTCGACGACTGGAGGAGGAGGGTCGTCGTGAGGATGAGGCCGATCTTGGCCGGGGCGATGGTCGTGCGCTCGGCGACGGCGACGATGGCGACGACAAAGACGAGGAGGGCGCCGAGCGAGTCGACCCGGATGGCAAGCCAGCGTCTGTAGGACGAGCGAGAGTCAGTGACGGCCTCTCAGGAGAGGCAGGAGAGAGGCCGGGACGTGCTGGTTAATGGGCGTCAACAGCCAGGCCCTGTAGAGGTAAAGAGGTATGTCAGGACACGGTACGGGGACCCTGAGAGACGAGGAGTGGCTGACGGACCGGTTCTCGAGGTCGACGAAGCGCTCGGTGCCGCGCAGGAAGCGCTCCTTCTCGCCGAATGCTCGGATCGTGCTCATGCCGGTCAGGCTTTCGCTCCACCAGGCGTACAAGAACGAGCGGAGCGTGTTGTCGTGGCGCTTGATGGCTCGAGCCGAGGCACGATCTGCAACTTGGGAAGGTCAGAAACGACCCGAGTGGAGAGGGGGTCGGTGCGCACAAAAGTTCGAGGTCATGACGCAGAGGACGACGACGAGCGCAGTTGGCGCGAGGAAAACCGGGTAGACGATGGCGATGGTGACGATCGAGCCTGCGATTTGGGCAAAGGTGGCCAGGCACATCCGGAGCGAGTCGTTCAAACGATTGTCGACCGAGTCCACATCTTTTGAGAAGCGATTCTGTATGCGGCCGAGCGGTGTCGTGTCGAAGAAGCTCATCGGGGCGCGAGCGACCTTGTCGAGCGCCATGTGGTGCAGGTTGCGCGCCGCCGACGTGCCGAAGAAAACGGTCGCCACCCCGAGGCTGAACGTGAAGACCGCGGACCCGATGCTGAGCCCGGCGTACAGGCCGATGTACGAGCTGTCGGAGAGAGGAAAGGTGCGCTGCTGCCACCACGTGAGGGCGAACTGCGACAGGAGTGAGGGCGGCGAGGGGAGCGAGTCGAGGGGAGGGAGGCGAGTCGAGGGGAAGGGAGCGAGGCGAGGCAGGGCAAGGCGCCGAGAGGTCAGGCGACGAAAGGCGAGGCGACGAAAGGCGAGGCGACGAAAGGCGAGGCGACGAAACGCGAGGCGACGAAACGCGAAGGAAAGACGAGGGAGAAAGGGAAGGGCAAGGGAGGAGAGTCAGTCTCGGGGCTCGTACAGACTCAGGGCGCGAGGGCGAGCGACTCATCTTGACTCGCGCCCATGAGGAGCAGACCACCGAACACGAACGGCAGGGTGAGCCACCCGTTGGCGGCCTTGGCGTACGTCTTCCACGTGCCGAGCCCGACACTCCCCACCGCCTGCTCCTCCTTCTGCATGAGCGGCCGCCCTGCCGCGCCGCCTTTGCCCTTCTGCTTTGGCTCGTCGACGACGTCGACCTTGCCCACGAGCTCGTCGCCGTCGCCGTCGCCGACGGCCGTCGAGACGGCCGCGACCCCGTACTCGTCGGCGAACCGCGAGAACGACGAGCCCGACGCGACGAGCTCGGCGTACGTGCCCTGCTCGACGATGCGGCCGTTCTCCATGACGACGACCCAGTCGGCCTGCGGCAGGTACTGGAGGCCGTGCGTGACGAGGATGCGCGTCTTGCCGGCGAGGAGGCCGCGAATCGCGTTCTCGAAGATGGCGGCACCGACATGGGCGTCGACGGCGCTCAGAGGATCGTCGAGGAGGATCTGTGAATAGGAGCAGGTCAGGGAGGGCGACAGAGGAGCCACGGGGAGCGGGAGAGAGGACGGACGATGTCGGCGTTGACGTAGAAGGCGCGAGCGAGGGAAACGCGCTGTCGCTGCCTGTTTTCGGTACGGCACGAGTCAAGTCTTCTGCTACGTGACGAGAGAGAGACAGAGAGAGAGAGGGACGCACCCGCCCGACAAGGTGATGCCCTTCTCGCCAATCTCGGTCATGTCGCCCGCCGGGAGCTGGTCGAGGTCGGCGAGGAGCGACGCCGCCCGGATGACCTCCCAGTACCGGTGCTCGTCAAAGTCACGGCCGAACAGGATGTTGGAGCGCACGGTGCCGTTCATGATCCAGGCTTGTTGAGCGCAGTAGCCGATCGAGCCACCTGTCGAGGAGAAGGAGGGGTCAGGTCACGCTCTGTCGTCGAGATGGAGGAGCACGAGGACGCACCGAACGTGACGGTACCGCGAGTCCTGCGCATCTCGCCGATGCAGCCCTGGAGGAGCGACGACTTGCCCGACCTGCAGGAGGACCGAGCGTCAGTGACTCGAGGATTGAAGCCGCCGCCGACGCCACCGGCTCAGGGACGCAGGGAGAGTGGACACACCCGACACTGCCCACGATACACGTTAAGTGGCCCTTGAGCACCTCGAGGTTGATGCCCTCGAGCCGACTCGCCTTCTCGCCGAGCTTCTCCTCGTCCTTCTTCTCCTTCTTGACGCTCTTGCTCTTGGCGACGACCTCGACAGGTGGCGGCGCCGACGTCTCCCACTCAAAGTCGGCGTCCTCGACCTTGAGCGCGAGCTTTGACGAGCCGTCGACGAGGAAGAGCTGCTCGGGGAGCTCGTCGGCCATGAAGACGGGAACGAGGGCTTGAAGTGCGACGTGCGCGTCGGCTGCAGAGCTGAGCGCGTTGGGCAGCATCATGAGGGGCTGCCTGAGCAGGTTCAGGAGGGCGAGCGAGGTCCAGATCTGGGCCGGGTCCTGCTGGTTGCCGGTGAGCGAGTAGACGGCAAAGACGAGGACCGACGACAGGAGCGGCAGCGTCATGGCGACGGCCTGGTTGGCGGCGCGGATCGTGAGGAGCTTGCGGATGGCGCTGAGCTCGTGCTTGCGCGACTCGGCCGCTTTGTCGAGGATGGGCGTCTCCCACGCGAACAGCTTGACGATGCGGATGCCGTTGACTGCGGGGGAAGCGTACATCAGTCACGATCTCAGAACGCAAGGGACGCACGAGAGAGAGGGAGAGAGAGAGAGAGAGGGAGGGAAAGAGGGACGAGGACGCACGCAGCTCCGAGATGGTCTTGATGCGGGCGTCGGTGTGCTTCTGGGCGACTCGGCGACCTTTGTAGAGCTGCCTCATGGCCCACGACTGGAGCGGAATGGCCGCGATGACGATGGCGACGCCGGGCAGCGAGCTGACGCCGATGGTGCACAGGAGGATGACGAGGACCTCGACGAGCTGGATGACGCAGGTGTACGAAAAGTGGAAGAAGGTCGACGCCCAGTCGACGCGAGATATCGAGGTCGAAATGTGCGACACGAGCTGGGCGTTCGAGATGTCGGTGCGCGCCTTGCCGCTCATCTTGAACGCCTTGCGGTACAGCGACGAGATGAGCGCCGCGCGAGCGAGGACGCCGCACTGCCCGCTGCGCGCGAACGTGTTGTTCATGCACACGCTGACGAACAGCTGCATGAGGAAGAGGCCGACCGCCATGGCGATGCCGCGACCGATCCCGGGAACGGGCTCGCCGGCTGGCTGCGCCGCGTAGGCCGACTGGACGAAGCGGATGATCTCGCGCGAGACGAGCGGCGCCGTCGTCTGCGCAGCGTCGCTGACGATCTTGTACAGGCCAGCGCTCCAGAAGGGCCAGAAGAACGTGTCCGACAGGGCCTGCGCGCGCGAGTCGGGAGTGAGCGGTCGCTCGACGAGCCTCGACGGCGAGACTGGGTCGCCCAGGAAGTGAGCGGGGACGCACCAGACACAGGCCGACCTCGCGCCGACCGTCCTCGCGACCCCAACCCGCTCTCGCCGCCGCCTTCCACTTGAGCCGCGTCCACCTCGACGGGACGAGCGTGCCCTCGTCGAGCGCCCGGTTCCACTCCTCGACGGCCCGCCGCCGCTTGGCAAAGTTCTCCTCAAACACGTCGGCGAGGTGGCCCGCCTCGCGCGTCGGGTCCATCTTGGGGAGGTCCTCGGCTTGCAGCTCGCGCTTGTACCCGAGGACGAGCAGAGGCTGGATCCACCCTGTTTCCGCGCACGCACTGTCAGTCACGTCCACGAGGGCTGAGAGGAAAGAGAGAGGGGACGCACAGAAGGTCGTCTGCGAGAGCCACGAAGCTTTGGCGATACCGATGGTCGCGGCGTCGTCCATCGAGGCCGGCGGCGGCGGCGGCGCCTTGTACACGAACGGGTCAAACAGGGCCCTGCGAGACAGTGGAAGAGATGGACAGTCAGCTTGGCGCAGCGAGAGACGAGGGCGCCTCGCTATTCCTTGAGGGGCGGAGCTGCGAGGAGGAGGAGGTGGGGACGCACCACTTGTGCTTGACGACCACCGGCTCCTTGCCCATCGAGCCCGCGTGCTCCTCCTCGTCCTTGTCGGCGTCCTTGCGCTCTCGCGACCCAGCCGAGCTCGCCGAGGTCGAAGCCGCTCGCGCCGTCGTTGAAGGTTCGACGTCGTCGCTCGCGAGCGGCTGTGGTGGCCCGCCGTCGGGCGCAAGCACTCGAGCTTCGAGTCGAGCGGCAGCAGTGCTCGCCATCGAGGCAGCTCAGCGGGTGAGCGGTCGAGCGAGAGCCGAGCAACGTTCCTCATCTCTCGACCCCTCGCGGGGGGCCTCCCTCCTGCACGTGCCGATTTGCCGCGCCAAGTCGGACGGCTCGATTTCAAACGCAGCTCTATCGTCCAGCGAGGCCCAGCAACGCTACGAGGACGACGCCGCCGACCGCTCCAGCTGCTCCTGCCGCAACCTTAAAAGCTTTAAAAGCCTTATATATTCTTTTTTTTCTTATAAAACTTAAAACCTTAGAGGCTATTTAAGTTGCTGATTTATATTAATTTTATTGTTCAAACATGAGAGCTTAGTACGTGAAACATGAGAGCTTAGTACGTTAGCCATGAGAGCTTAGTACGCGAGATCGGGAGGAGGAGGAGGAGGAACGGCGAGGGCGGCGGTCGAGGCGGCGACGGCGTCGAGGGTGGCCTGCGCCTGCTGGACGAGCTCTTGCAGGCCTGCGAGGTGCTTCTGCGTCGCGTCGTGACCTTGCTGCGAGTTCTCCCGCAAGCTGTTGCGCGGGCCGAGAGGTCAGGGCGGCGCGGGCGCGAGAGAGGGGGAAGGCGGACGAAGGGACGCACCGTTCCTCGACGTTCTCGACGAGTCGCCGTCGCCGCCAGGGCTCGATCAGGAGGAGGCTCATGAGGAACAGGAGGACGTTGAGCGACGTGATGCCGAGGGAGCCGTAGGTCGACATGGAGCGGATCTGGGCGTAAGGAGCGAGGTCATGTTCCGGTTCGAGAATTCGAGAGAGAGAGAGCGAGGCGCACCTTGTCGCTCCAGACCTGCTCCTCGTGATACCGCTCGAGGATCGCCTGCATGAGTTCTGCGCAACAAGTCAGTCCAGAGCCCGCTCGAGAAAGGAGAGAGGGGGGCGAGGACGCACCCGAGAAGCCCTTCTCGACCGCCTCCTCGGCCGAGTCCATGGCAAGTTTTGCCCGGTTCTCCTCCTGCTCGTTCGTGTGCTCCTGCTGCACGAGCTCGGTGAAGCGCAAGACGTCGGGGCCAGTCCAGGCGCTCTTGCGCTGCAGCAGGTCGTTGACCTCGCGCTGCGAGTCGGCCCGGAGCTTGACGCGCTCCGTGTAGGCCTGCTTGAGCGACACGGCCTTGTCGCGCGCGTCCATGAGCGCCTTTTCTGCGGGGCGGGGGCGCGCGCAGGGTCAGGTCTCGGGTTGGCGGCAGAGAAGGAGGAGGGGACGCACCCTTGGCCCCGACGCCGTTCCTCAGCCGCTCAATCTCCTCGTAACCCGTCGCCTGGTTGATGCGCCCACCGACCTCGCGCACCTTGCGCTCGAGCTCGAGCGCCTGCAGTGCGGCGGCGAACGCGTGCGCCTGCTTGCGCGCGCCGGCGTCGAGCGAGCGGAGGAGGGTGCGCAGCTGCTGCTGGGCGTTGGCGCGCGCCTGGGCGAGGCGCTTGTGCGCCGAGGCGTGCAGGTCTTTGAGGTGCGGGGACGGGCTCGCGCGGGGTCGTGGTGGGGAGGGAGGGCGGTCACTCGACGAGGGGGAGATGAGGTCGGGTTCGCTCGCGAAGCGCGACGACGAGGCAAAGGGGCGATCTCGTGGTGGTGCGAGGGCAGGTCGAGAGGTGCGTCGAGTGCTGGCGAGGCATGCTCGGCAGCTTTGCGCGAGCGGGCGGTGGAGGGCCATGGTCGAGAGGGACTTGGGCGCCGCGGCCGACTCGGAGCGGGGGCGACCCTCACCACGGCTCTCGTTCGGGGCGCTGTTGCAGTCACAGGCTTGCTCTCGAGTCGTTGACTTTGCAGCGCGAGCGACCCGAGACCGGCGAGAAAGCGAGCGCCCGAGCCTCCTCGATCACGGTCGACTCTTTCCACCTCGACCGCTCTCGAGGCCGCAACACAACGCCGACGACGGACGCGAAACGCTCGAGAGGAAACAGAACGTGTTCCACAGCCTCTGCAGACCAACAGGCGAGCCCGAACAGCCTCTACGAGCGCTGCTTCTCGGCTTGACGGCGGCGGCTGTCACGCTCCTGTTGACGTTTCGAAGAATGGTCAGTATCTCCCTCAGCGAGACGTGGACGACGTGGTGAAAAGGACGCACCTCGGCGATCGAGAGCTTGACGCCCTTGCCTGCGAAGAAGAGGAGAAAAAACAAAAGTCAGGGACGGGTCGACCGGGAGCAAGGTCGCACCGCGAAAGGCGACAAACCCTTGGGGAGCGAGACCATCGGCTTGTTCCCAGCGCCGATGACGAAGACGTTCGAGAGACGGGTGGCGAACTCGCGGTCGAGCGTGTCGCGGACGGTGACCTGCGAGGCGGGTCCAAGTCAGTGCGGGATCTCCGGGAGCGAGGAAGGAGGGGACGCACGATGTCGTAGCCGCCGAGGTGGCGCTCGCGGTGGACAATGGTGCCGACACGGCCCTGGTTGCGACCGCCGGTGAGCATGACGAGCTGCGAGCGGGCGAGGGAGGAAGGAAGCGCAAGGGAGAGTCAGTTCCCGAACCACGACGACGACCGAGACCAAGAGAGAGAGCGAGGCCCACGTTGCCCTGCTCAAACTTGACGTGGTCGACAATCTTGTTCTCGACGAGGTCAAACTTGACCACGTCGTTGACCTTGATGACGGGGTCCGGGTACCGGATCGTGCGGCCGTCGTGCGTGACGATGAAGGGGACGCCCTTGGCGCCGAGCTGCACCTTGCGCACCTTGAGGAGCTTGTACGTCGCCTCCTCCTCCGAGATGCGGTGGATCGCAAACCGGCCCTTGACGTCGTACAGGAGGCGGAAGTGCTCGCCGGACTTCTCGATCGAGATAACGTCTGCACGAGGACGAGGGGGAGAAAGAGAGAGGAAGGGGGACGACACCTGTTAGTCTCTGTGCCGGACCAACGGACAACAGAGAACGCTGGTGAAGCGTAAGGGGACTAACCCTGGAAGCCGGCCGGGTAGGTCTCGTCGGTGCGGACCTTGTTGTCGATCTTGATCAGGCGCTGCTTGACGACGAGCGTGACCTCGCGGCCGGTGAGGGCGTACTTGAGGCGGTTGCGGATGAAGATCTGCGCGGCACGGGCGAGGCGAGGGGAAGGCGAGGAAGGAGGGAGGGAGAGGAGGATAGGTCAGCTCCCGCCGCCGCCGGCCAACGCGCCCAGTGCGCCCAAACCCGCTCGTCCACCACGCTCGCACACCGGCCCCTTGCGCGCACGGCGAGCGACCAAGCGCATCGAGCCGCGTCGCGTGCCTCCTCTTCCGTGGCCGTGCTCAACCCTCGTTCCGCTCCGCCGCTCCTCTCCTCGTCGCCGGCGTGTCCTCCAGTCGGGGCCGCAGATGCAGGGCGGGGCAGTGTCGAGGACGAACCGAGAGCGGCAGGCACTCGCGCTGCTTGTGCGGGCCAGGCGAAGGCTTCGGGGCGTAGGCGCCTGCGGACGAGGGACAGCGTGAGCCGCGCCGACTCCAGGCAAAGACGGCGAGAAAGAGAGAGAGTAGGGCGAGGTGCGCACCACCGAGCTTGTCGAGCATCCACGCCTTGGGCGCTGCCAGACGGGACATGTGCTTCTTAGGACCGCGACCCCTGCTCGAGCGTGCGTCCCATGACGACGAGGAGGCGGGTCGCGGGCAAAAGAAGCGCACGGTCGTGGCGAGGTTGTCGGTGGTCGGCAGGAGGCGCAGGGTGCGAGGGGCGAAGGGGAGGACGAGGGGAAAAGTCTGGTCAGTGATGGGGGAGGGCGGCGACGAGGGTGGTTTGGCGTAGAGGGAGGTAGGGGTTTGTGTCGAGTGGATGACGGGGCGCACATGTTGGCTGTAGGGTGATCTGCTTCGCGAGGGAGAGAAGAGACGGAGAACAAGCGAGGGATGCGGCGAGGAGCGCGCTCAACTTCGAGCCTCTCCAACCGGCGCAGGGACCCACCCCGCTCTCGCTCCCACACTCAAGCTGCACCTCTTGCACTGCACCGCTACAGTGTATCCCCGCTCTCCTGCGTCCCACCCGGCGTCGCATCCTGCTCAATCACCCGCCGCCGCCGCTTGCCTCCCCCTCCTCCTCCTCCTCCTCCCGCCGCACCGCCAACCTCGCCCGCGCCCTCGCCCTCAGACAGGCTCTCGTCCTGCTCAATCACGCGCCGCTTGCTCGCGAGGCGCGCGACCCCGCCGAGCAGCCGCGGGACCGTCGCCGCGCGCGCGGTCTGGGTCGGCGGCGAGGTGCGGCCGGTCGGCGCGGCGGCGGGTGCGAGCGCGGGCGCGTGCTGCTGCGGCTCGGGCTCGGGCGCGGACGCGGGCGCGGGAGGGGCGATGTCGCGTAGCGCGGGGAGGAACCGGCGCGGATGGTGCGTCGGCGGGGAGGGCGCGGTCGAGCTCGACGAGGCGGCGGTGGTTGCGGCGGGTGCTGTCGCTGCTGCTGCTGCTGGAAGAGGTGCGAGGGGAGCAGGTGAGGGCGAGGGCGGCTCGACGGTCGGAGCGGCGGGCGAGTCGAGCCGCGTGAGCTCGGCGGGAGGAGCTTGCGGGTGGTGTGGACGAGGGTGCGACGGGGTGCTCATCTGCGGGTTCCTCCTCCTCGTCAAGACCACATGCTCGATGCCCGCCCTTGCGCGCCAAAGGAGCAACTCGAGCGGCGCACCTGCTCGTCGCGCACCTCGAGTCTCGCCCAAACCCGCGCAACCTCGCTGCTCAACCGCTCAAACGCCTCCCTCTGCGCCTCTCCCGCTCGCTCCAGCTCGGTCACCTTGCTCTCGAGCGCGCCCAACTGCGCGCCGAGCGCCGCCGTCGCGCCCGCGCTCCCGTCTCGCACCTCGCGCTCGACCCGCCCAGTCCTCTCGCTCGCGGCGGCCCCCTCGCGCTCGAACCGGGCCTCGAGCGCGCTCAGGCGCTCCTCGGCGCGGCGCTGGTTCGTGGCGAGCGAGTCGCCGAGGGCGGTGACGGCCTCGCGCAGGGGCGCGAGAACGGTGTCGAGCGCGGCGGGGAGGGCGGAAAGGACCTGCTGCTCGAGGACGGCGCCTGTAACGCAGGGTCAGCTCTGACCGACTCGCTGGGAGAGAAGGGCCCGAGAGAGAGAGACTGAGCGGCGCACCCTGAGCCCGTCTGTCCTCCTTTCCGAGCCGCACCTCGTCCCCGAGCGAGTCGACCGCCTCCCTGAGCGCGAGCACCTCGTCGACCGCCTCGCGCGCGCCATCGAGCTCGAGCTTGACGCGCTCTAGGGTGAGGCGCAGGCGGGCGGCGTCGAGCGAGGTCGGTGGTGGCGGCGGCGGCGGGCCGTGCGAGCGCGCCGAGACGAGGTTGGGAGGGGGAGGGAGCGAGTACTGCGTGTCGTAGTGGGGCTGTTGGGGCTGCAGGGTCGGCCAGAGAGCCATGGCGAGCGAGCGAAGCGAGACCGAGTGGGACGAAGAGGAGAGAGAGGGCGCGAGGAGCTCGCGAGGTAGTGCGGGCTCTCGCTCTGCTCGCTCTCGTACGAGATCATTCTCAGTCCTTCAGCCCTGATCTAGAATAGACGTACGTCAAAGGCAAACGAGCGCGAGGACTTCTAGCGCTACAGCCCGACTCGAAAGACCCCCCTCGCCGTCCTCGCCGCCCGCTCAGATCCTGTACTTGCGCAACCTTCGCTCCTCCTCCATGCGTCGCGCAACCAGCTCTGCCACCTCGGGCCCCCACACGTCCTCCGGGTCCTCGTCGCCGACGAGGCACCGCTCCTCGTGCACGCGGCCCTCGTCGCGGTCAAACACGACGAGGTTGTCCCACGCGAGGCCGCGCTCCTTGCGCCACCGCAGGACGGTCGGCCGGGCTGGGTAGACGTGCGGCGGCGCGACCGACTTGGCGCGGTGGATCTCCTCGTACAGGTACGCCATGTCGTCCTCGGAGAACGGGATGCGGCTGCGGCGGGGGGGCGGGACAGGACGAGCGACGTGAGCGGGACGCCCGACGAGGCGCGAGGTAGAGCGTGGACGTACTTGTCGCCGGTGAGCTTCATCTCGGACGCCGAGAGCTGGCGGTGCAGGGTCGCGGCGAGCTTGAACCGGTTCCTGTGCGAGCGGGACGTCGAGAGGGAGAGTCAGGCGCTGCGGCATCGACGACCGGTCGAGCCGACGTGCAGGACACGAGGCTCGAGGCCAAGAGAGGAGGGGAGAGCGAGACGCACTTGACGGGGAGCGTCTCCATCTTGAACCCGGCGAGCTGCTGCAGGACGTAGGCGGCCGCGACGTTGCCAAACTGCGAGTACGACCCGAGTCAGGACCCGTCTCGAGCTGCGAGAGACGAGAAAAAAGTAGAGGGAGAGGACGCACCATGGCCGGCAGAGGGCCGAGGACGGGCAGGATGCGGACCCGGAAGTTCTGCATCGCGTGGAGCTCGTCGACCTTGCCCTTCTCAAACTCGGCCTCGTCGAGCGGGAGCAGGCCGAGGTCTGGTCGGGGCTTCTCGGTCGAGTACTGTGCGGCGAGAGGACGTGCGTCAGTACATCGAGTCGAGAGGGGGAAGGGCAGGAGAGGGAACGAGGGACGCACGACGACGGGCACGCCCTGCGAGACGCCCTCGAGGCGCAGTCGTCGCCGCACCGACTTGGCGAGCGGGTCCTCGAACGTGGTCGAGATGTCGGCGACCTGGATCCGGCTCGGGTCCGACTTGCACGCGGCGCCGAGCGACGCAAAGACGGGCAGGCCGTTCTTGCAGCAGTAGGCGAGGAGGTCGACCTTGGAGTCGATGTTGTCGATGCAGTCGACGACGTAGTCCGGGTTGCCCTCGAGCAGCTCTGCGGCGCGGTCCTTCTCGAACAGCTCGATGCGCGCGTCGACCTCGACCCAGGGCGCGATCTCGGCAAAGTAGTCGGCGCAGGCCGTCACCTTGGGCATACCGACCTGGGCGAGTGTCGCCGTCGAGTGCCGGTTGAGCGAGCTGAGCGACACCTGGTCAAAGTCGATGATGCGGATCTTGCGGATCCCGCTCCGAACGAGCATGACGGCCGCCGCACTGCCGACGCCGCCGAGACCGACGACGACGACGAACTTGTCGCGCACGGCGTCCATCTTGTCGTCGCCGAAGAACGCATAGTTGCGCGCGAGCGCCTCGCGGACGACGACCTCGCTCGGCACCTTCTTGCTCCCTCGCCGCACCGGCTGCCCCGCCCCACTCCGTGCCGCCGCCGCCTGCGCCGCGCCCGCCATGCTCCCTCGCCGACTGCCGACCGGGCGCGTAAAGTCGACCACCTCGTCCTCGTCGAGGTCGTCGGGCGACTCGAGCCGCTGGTCGATCGAGCTCTTGAGGCGGCGGCGGCGCGTGGCGCGGCGCAGCGACTGGGCGCCGAAGATCGAGGCTGCAGTGACGACACACGACGCGACTGCGACCACGGCGAGCTTGCCCGTCGGCGTCTTGAGCGAGTCGCTCACCCGCGAGATGATGAGGTTGGCCGAGGTCGAGGACGACATTGTGGGGCGTCACGGTGCGGTCGAGGCGGCGCTGTGTAGTACTCGGGTGCTGTACGAGCTGTGGCCGGCCTAGCCTGGGGGCGGGGCGAGGTGGTGTAGAGCAGGCCGCCCGCTCGCCTCTCCCGCTCCGCTCGGCACCCTCTCTCCTCCGCCCCTCACACCGCACACGCTTGCGCGCATGTGGATTCGCTATATGCTGCAGTCTTTCCTCGCAGAAGCCCGCTGGCTCCGTCGCACACTGCCCCACGCCATACTCGCGGCCGCTGCCCTGCCCTCCTCGCGTTCCAGCACCACGCGGATCTGCGCGACCCGCTTGAACTGCTTTTCGACATCACTGCCTCTCTCAGTGCCTCGTCTGAGCAGGAGGCGGCCGCATCGGCCCGGCTCCGTCGGTCGTCGTGCACCGTCGTCGGCCGGTCGCCGACGGCGGCTCCATCTCGAGCTCCCTCTCGGCTCCCTCACTCCCTCGCTCCCCCCTCGCCCCCCCCTCACTCCCCCTCGCTCGCTCGTCGCAGCTCGTCCCCCCCAAGTGCCGCCGCGAGGCGACTACTTGCGGTACCACGTGACACCGCGACGCGATTTCCTCATCTTCCTCTGCAGCTGGAGCATTCCGTAGCTGTAGAGCGAGGTGCGAGGTCAGCTGCGTCCGCGCTTCGAGAGGCTTTGCTAGATCAGCTCTTGTTCGCTGGATCTCTTTGCTCCGACGTCTGCTTTCTACCGAGGCGCTCGTCGGCGCAGCTGCAGCCGGGCTCTCGCTTCCTGCAGAACGAGCCAGCGACTCGTCTCGTCGCTTCCAGTACCGGCTCGACCCCGCCGCTTTTGGCTTTCTTTGCACCTCCCGCTCCAGCGCGAAGCTCGCGAGTGCGGTGTCATTGCGAAGCGGCGTGTTCGCGGCTTGAGAGAGGGCGAAGCGAGAGGCTGAGGCGAACTAGGCTGCGAGAAAGAGCCTTGTTCTCGACCGATGGTCGGCCTTTCTCGGCCCTGCCTCGAGCCGAGACGATGTACACGCTTTCTTGCGTCGGCTGGCACGATTCTGAGCCGACGCGACACTCGCGATAACGAGCTTGAGCGAAAGAGGAGGTCCGGACGCCGACGAGTGGGGGCGTCGTTCGACAAAGTTGGTCCAGGCGGTTGCGTGCGTTCGATCGCGTGCAGGCTCAGACAACGAGCCGACATACACAGCTCCTGGCGACCAGAGAGAGAGAGAGAGCGTAGGTGCGAGCGCACGCAGACGGCGGAAGCCGCAACGGAAAGACTGCGCCGCGAAAGTCAAGGAAAAGGTCAAGCGAGTCAAGCCCGAGTTGGTAATTCGAACGCGCCGAGCGCAGGCTAATTTCCCAATACGAAAATCAAGAAAGAGATGGGCCGAATCGTAGTCTCGTCGCTCGTCCGCCCTCTCCGGTCTCTCGCGCCTCACCCTCACGACCGAGCACGCCCGACCCGGCTCGCCTGAGTCCATACACTTGTCGACAACACCCCTCAGCTGCAGTCACGCCGCCACACCCAGTCGCCGACCGCGCAGAGCGCCCCGCATCCTCATCAGCGCCGCGCCTCGCCGACCGCTCTCGCCGCTCGACAACGACTCGTGGACCGGCGGCAGGACGCGACAGGGACTCGAGGAGGTGCAGGGTCGGGCAGGGCCAGGGTGGTCGAGGTGCAGGGGCGCTGGGCAAGCGGGTGCGTCCCCCTTCTCCCCACCTCCCTGCGTTCGGCGCCCTCTTCCTCGCGGCTCGCGCTCGATGCCACCGTGCGACGGCTCCAGGTACCGATCTGTAGCTGACATGAACCCTCCACAGACAGAGCAGCCGTGCAGGATGGGCGAACGGCTCGTCAGGCGGCGCTGGGTCTGACGCCCGACCTCGAGGCGGCTCCTCCAGATCCTTGTGCGTCCCTGTTCCTCGTTAGCTTTCGCCAGGATCCCCTCGCGCAGACCTCCTGGGCGAGCCGCATACTGACCCCCCTCAACCTCGCACCGCAGGAACGTCGAGCCCTCCCACCCGCACCTCGCCCTCCCGCCGCGAGAAGGCTCCCCCTTGTATCCCTCCCGCACCTCGTCCCGGCCTGCATCGGCGCCCACATACACCTTGAAGCATCTGCCGGAACGTCGTGGAGCGAATCGCGCGCGCTCAATCTCGTAGAGCGCCTTCTCAAGTCGAACGAGGACCGAGCGACCTGAGAGCGCGCGTTTCTCGCGACTCGCTTCCGCACGAACGCTGTCTGCGTGTCTTTGAGAGTGCGGCTCGAACGAGAGAAACCGCGCCAGCAGCTGTGCGCCTGTATGCAACCGCCAGAGACCGCAGGAGCCACCTCAAGCTGCGTTAGCGAGAGTCGCTCGAGTGCACGACAGGAGGGGACGAGCACGCGAAAGCTGGTCTCTCGCTCTCTACTCGGGGCGGGGAGAGACGGAAAGTGAATCTACAGTTGTCAAAAGGCGAGGCGAGGGAAAGCGCAAAAACGAAACTCCTTGCCCTCCTTCTCGGCCGCATCGACTCGGCTCGACGTGTCGGTCGGTCGTCGTGCACCGTCGTCGGCCGGTCGCCGACGGCGGCTCCATCTCGAGCTCCCTCTCGGCTCCCTCACTCCCTCGCTCCCCCCTCGCCCCCCCCTCACTCCCCCTCGCTCGCTCGTCGCAGCTCGTCCCCCCCAAGTGCCGCAGCGAGGCGACTACTTGCGGTACCACGTGACACCGCGACGCGATTTCCTCATCTTCCTCTGCAGCTGGAGCATTCCGTAGCTGTAGAGCGAGGTGCGAGGTCGAGGAGGAGAAGGCAGGGGGAGGGCGGAAAGGGGGGCAAAGAGGTCAGCTAAAAGTCCTCGAGAGCCCGCTCGCGACCGCCACCACCCCGACTGATCAAGACTCTGAGAGGACGCTCGGACGTACAGGAGAGCCTCGGCCGTGGGCGGGCAGCCCGGAACGTAAAGGTCGACAGGCACGATGCGGTCGCAGCCGCGCACGACCGAGTACGAGTAGTGGTAGTACCCGCCGCCGTTGGCGCACGAGCCCATCGAGATGACCCAGCGAGGCTCGGGCATCTGCGACCCAGAACCAGAACAGCAAGTCAGCTCAAGCTCGCGCGAGAACCGAGAGAGGGGGAGGAGGACGCACCTGGTCGTACACCTTGCGGAGCGCGGGCGCCATCTTGTTGGTGAGCGTGCCGGCGACGATCATGATGTCGGACTGCGATGGGCGGAAAAGGGTCAACACGGACGAGGAGGAAGAGAGAGCGGCCCGGGACGCACCTGACGAGGCGAGGCACGGAAGACGACGCCGAGGCGGTCCTGGTCGTAGCGCGCGGCGGCCATGTGCATCATCTCGACGGCACAGCACGCGAGGCCGAACGTCTGCACGAGGAAGCGGTATCAGCGGACCCGATCTCGGCGAGCCCCGACCACCGGGACCGACGACATGCGACCCTTCGACCCGCGCAAGAGACGCCACAAGAGAGAGGGACCCACCATGGGCCACATCGAGCCCTGGCGAGCCCAGTTGACAATCTTGTCCATGGTGCCGAGCGCGTACTCGACGCCGTTGCGGGGCGTCTCGAGCGAGAGCTGGTTCGAGCCGACCTTGGCGAGGTCGTACGCGCTGCTCGCCTGCTGCTGCGACATGGCGGCCGGCGCGCTAGACGACGACTGCTGCGACTGCTGGGCGGGCACGGCCGGGCGCGAGGGCGTCGTGGCGATGGAGCGCAGCGCGAGGGGGCGAGCCTGGCGGAGTGCGGGCGTGAGGCCTGGGTGACGCTTGGGTCAGTTGCGTCCTGGGCAGTTGCGAGTGGGATAGGGTGGAGGACGGACCGGTCCTGATCGACTGCATCTCGAGAGTGTGGGTAGAGTGCGAGAGGTGGCGGAGCTGGGAGCGAGGCGACGAGGGAGCTGGACGACGGCGGAGAGCTCGACGGTCCGCCATTGGCTCGAGCCTCCACTCGCGCTGTCGCCCTCTCGCTCACCGCGAGCGCGCTGCTCTCGGCGCAGGCTCACAGCATGCTCCGCTTTGCCTAAGGCAGGCAGGACTGCGCGCGCATCGCTGCCGCGACACCGCCCTCGTCGCCTCTCGTTCGCCGCACAACCGGCGCCGCACAACCTGCTCAGCCTCCAGGCACTCTCGCTTTCTCGCGCCGTCTCGTGCGACCTGCTCTTGACTCTCTGGCGAGCGCGAGATCGCTTGCTCTCCACGAGGGCGCGAGCTGGCCCGTCTCTGTCTGCCACTCGCGCTCTCGCTTGTCGCCGGACCGTCGTCGCCGAGGCAGCAATGAAAGCTCGTCGAGCGACGGGCAGCAGGTCTGCATACGTTTGTGCTGCCCGTATGCCGGCCAGCAAAGCTCAAAAGGAGGAGCGACGCAGAGCGAGAGAGTCGAGCAGTGCGAGGACAAGGACGCGAGCTCGAGTAGCAGGCCGCGCGACCGCAGCTGGCCTGCGCTGACGGCCGAGAGGAAGAGCTGCGTCGCGCAAGCGTCACGCTCCAGACGGGTCGTCCGCAGGCCCGATGCAGCACGACCCTGGACCGGGTCGACGAGGGGGAGCTGAGGAGAGCGACGCCCTGTCGACGCTGGAGCTGCTTCGAGCCGCCGGTCGAGCTGCGGTCCCAGAGCTAGAGGTCTGCTGCGACGGTTGACGGTGCTTTGGCGTCGCCTCTGGGGCGAGGGCAGGAGGATTGCTCGTCGAGAGATGAGGGCGCGCGGAGAGAAGGCGAGGGATGTCGACAGGCCCGGCGGATGGGCGCAAGGGTGGCCGACTGGAGGTCGCTGAAGCTCTGTGTCGGCAGTGGACGCAGCAAGCTCGAGCCAGCAGCTGGCGAGCGAAGGGTGGCCGCAGCCAAGCCCGAGCGAACGACGTCGGCCCCGTCCTCGACTTGCTCCTCGCCCTCCCCCAACTCGAGCACGACCGCTACACCGACGAGCGAGCATGTCGTCGAGCAGCACACAGCAGATCCGCACGGCGACCATCTCGCGCAAGACGGGCGAGACCGAGATCGAGTGCACCCTCACGCTCGACCACCTCCCCGGCACCAAGCAGGTCATCGACATTGACACCGGCGTCGGCTTCTACAACCACGTGAGTCTCCTCCCTGCGAGCGCACCTTGGTCCCCCTCGGCCTCGTCGCGCCCCTCGCTGACCTCTCTCCCTCTCCTCTCCCCCCCTCGCCGCCACAACCTCCTCCGACAGATGCTGCACGCGCTCGCCAAGCACGGCAAGATGTCGCTCCAGCTCAAGTGCAAGGGCGACCTCGAGGTCGACGACCACCACACGGTCGAGGACTGCGCCATCGCGCTCGGCGAGGCGTTCAAGGAGGCGCTCGGCGAGCGCAAGGGCATCCGCCGGTACGGCACTGGCTTTGCGCCCCTCGACGAGGTGCGTCCTCCTCCCCCTTTCCCCTCTCTCGACACAAGCAATACCATCCGTCCCGCACAAACGCTCACGCTCGCCCACACGCAGGCCCTCGCGCGCGCCGTCCTCGACATCTCGTCGCGCCCGTACTTCTGCGGCGACCTGCAGCTCAAGCGCGAGAAGATTGGCGACCTCTCGACCGAGATGATCCCGCACGTGTTCCACTCGTTTGCGCAGGGCGCTGGCGTCACGCTCCACGTCGACGTGCTCCGGGGAGAGAACGACCACCACAAGTGCGTCTCTCTCTCTCTCCTTGCGCGGCCTCCCTCGTACGGACCCGAGTACTGACTCGCATGTGCACCCACAGGTCCGAGTCGGCGTTCAAGGCGCTCGCGCTCGCGATTCGGGAAGCGGTCCAGACGGACGGCTCGGACGAGGTGCCGAGCACCAAGGGCGTCCTCGCCGTCTGAGGCACGAGCGCTCGTCCCGCAACCTCCTTCGTTACCCCCCGCCTCTCAATGCCGGTAGCGCTT